AGAGAAAACTTGTCTTTAAAACATGTAAAGGGCTTGGCCGTGTGGTTCAGTTGGAAGGCCAAATTAAGTCCCCAGTACTTCTAAAACAAACAAACATGGAAACTGGACCTTGGAAACTGGACCTTGACCTCCTGCGCCAGCACCTGCAAGGTTCTTTCAGGCAGACAGGCCAATTTTGTGACAGAGGGTGCATCTGTGTCCATTCTGGTGAGCTGAGGAGAGGGAAGGTGTGGCTTACTTTCTCAACATGAGGAGACTGAAGAAGCATCCTATCTTTAAAAAGATTTTTTAAAAAGGTCCTACTTTTTGAAGAGTTAGCTCAGTCTCTGTTATCTAAAGACCTGAAAATCTGTTCCTGCAAATGGCATTGAAAACTATTGCAAACTGTCAAAAATCAGTTTTTTCAAGACCCTGGAGAATAACCATACGTTTTAAGGATCTGAGGAGCAAATGACTGGATCTTGGAAGAACAGCAAGTTTTAACCTCCCTTAACCTCCTGTTCTGTTTCACAACCAGAGTAGCTGTGAGAACCAGCAGCCTAACATGCTGACGGAGGTGGGAGGATGGATTTGGAGAACTAGGAAGTGGGGAGACAGAAACAAAGGGAAAAGGAAGAAAAGATACTAGAAAAATTGGAAGCAAAGCCTTTGTAAATAAGGAGGGGAAGGGGATTGAAGGGAGAGTAGGGGAAGAAAGGGGGGAAAACTAAAATACAGCATGTACAAGTGTTACGTGTATCTAAAATGTACCAATAAAACTGAATTGTTTTGAGACAAGGTCACACTATTGTAGTTCAAGCTGGCCTAGAACTCACAGCAGTCCTCCTATCATGGCTCCCGAGTGCTGGGATTACAGCCATGCACCACCATACCTGGCTAATAAAATTAATTTTTAAAAAAGAGAATTTGGCTCAACACTTGTAATCTCAGCTACTTGGGAGGCTTGAGGTGGGAAGATTTCAAGTTCCAGACCAGCTGAGACTTTGTCTCAAACAAAATTTACAAAACCCAAACAGGCCAAATTTTACAGTGTAGAATTATGTACCAATCAATGTATAATTCTAAAAATCTTTACACAAAGCTGACATCGTGGTGCTGTGCCTGTAGTCCCAGTTCCTTGGGAGGCTGAGATGGGGGTCATTTGAACCCAGGAGCCTGGGCAAAACCTTATCTCAAAAAACAGCAAAACTCTGTCTAAAACATATAAAGAATTAAAAAAAAAATCAGACCCCCAAAATTCAAAGATCCAATCCAAAAATGGGCATCTGAGATAAATATACACTTCTCAGATGAAGACATACAAATGGCAAATAAATATATGAAAAAATGTTCATCATCATTACTCATTAGAGAAATGCAAATTAAAACCACACTGAGATTCCATCTCACTCCTGAAAGAATGGCCAGGATCAAGAAAACCACCAACAACAAATGCTGGAGAGGCTGTGGGGTAAAAGGAACTCTCCTCCCCTGTGTAGACTGTTACAACCATTGTGGAGGTCAGTCTGGAGATTTCTCAGAAAGCTGGCATTGGAAGTCCCATTTGTTCCAGCTATTCCCGAGGCATATCCCCAGAAAAACTGAAAGCATCATACTACAGTGATATATGTGCACCCATGTTTATAGCAGCACAATTTGTGATAGCCAGATCTTGGAAACAACCTAAGTATCCATCAACTGAGGAATAGATTAAAAAGATGTGGTATTTTTATACAATGGAATACTAAGCTATAAAGAATGATCACATTGAGATGTTTATAAATAAATGGGCATAGCTTGAGACCATACTCAAAAGCGAAATAAATCAAACTCACATGTAGAAATACCGAATAGTTACCCTAGTGTAAGAAATGGTAAGAATACATAAAAGTATGTGATAAACATGATTCCCCAATTATATTGCTTTGAAGCCTTATAATGTTTTCATTCGTTAATTGGAATGGTTTTATTCTGGGTTGTTTGATTTTATTGTCTGTGAGGGTATGAACAGTTATTTTGAAGAAAATAAGACAATATAATAGCTAGTGCTGATTAAATATAATCTTGTTTTGAAGTCCCATGAAGCTTTTGTTCTTCTGTCTCCATTGGTTTATCATGTTGTATCTTATTGGATTTTATTATATGTGATAGTATAAACAAAGTTTTTTTATAGACAAGGAGATAATATAGAAACCATTGTTCATTTTCTGTTAGTTTGTTCTAAATACTCTGTAATACTTTCATTCTCTTGAATGGTTTTACACTGTCATGTTGTGTTTGATGCTATAATGTACGAAGTTATACTCAAATATTTCAAGGAAAGAGACACTGTGGTAGTTACTGTTATGTCAGGTTATCTTGTGGTGGAACACTATGTTGCTTAAATTGTTCTGACCTGCGTTATTATGTTGTTATGTCCTCTTTTATGTTAATCTCCTTTCTTTTAGTTTTAATTTTTAAAAAAAAACAGCAAAACTACACAAGCATTCCCATGAGAAGTCCACACACAGTCATATTTTTTAGTGTTGTGTTCAAAAGTTATTTTTAAGCAAAGGAGAAAAGTGAGAACCGTTTCTCACCTACTGTGAGAGATGTGACCCTATTTTACTGCTGTTCCCTCCGTCCCTTCCCCTCATGTCTCCAAACTGGGTCTGCAAGACCTCCACGGCAAGTCTTCCCCTGCTCGCTTAGCCGCTTAGCACTATGAGGGCCATTCCTGCCCCGCACACAGCAGCTCAGCACTCCTGTTCGGTCACACAGAGCCTCAGTTTGCCGGGTTCTGGTCAGATAGGCCCCTGGTCCTTTCTGGCTTGCGTCCTGTTCTGTGACCCATAGTGCTCCCTTTCTCCTGTGCCTTAGCACCTGGGCTCTTCTGCCCACTGGCTCTCCGGAGTCTCTGCCAGGTCTCGGCCCTGGTACCACAACCTGTCCTCAAACTGCCCTTCTCTTCTCCCTCCCTCATCTCAGCGCTGTCTGGATGTCTGTGCTTTTAATTCTGATTAATTATGGTTAGATTCCATTATTCATGCTGAAAGAGAAAATTACTGAAGCTAATTTCTTAAAAGTATTGCTTATTTTAAGAAAATATCTCCAATTGTTCTGTTGTGACCTGTGTTGTTATGTCCTCTTTTATCTTAATCTTTTTTTAAATAAAATAATATCATAAAGACCTTAATGGGTACACAAAGATAAAAAGAAAATATTTCCTACCATTGTTCACTGAAAAGGTTTAGAAATGGTGAAAAACTAAGATCCTCCCTATGATATCTGTAAAAGTATTTTCTCAGGGCTAGGAGTATAGCTCAATGGCATGAGTGCCTGCCTGACAAGCTCAGTACCCTGCCCCCAAAATACTGAAAGTATTTTCTCTTTATTTTTTTTATTTGAGGCATGTTGAGAAAGGGTTCCACCGTGTAGTCCAGGGTAGCTGCAGACTCACTAGGTAGCCCAGGCTGGCCTAAGCTTACAATCTGCCTGCCCCGCCTTCCAGGTGCTGTGGTTACAGGTGTGTGCAGCCATACTGCCAAAACTTTGACGATCCCTAGGAAGAATGTGCAATTCCAGGTCAAGGGCAGGAAAGGTTTTAAATGAGCCTGAAATGTCTTGTCGGAGAGTGTGAATTCTCTCCGTGAACACGGAGCGTGTATTGATAGGACTCAAGAACTGACCTCAGAGGATTCCCAGTCACTACAGATGGGAATATTTGAGCATTAGAGAGAATAACTGAAATACACTGGAATACATCACGTGTTAAAATGCAGTTCCTTAGGCTGTTTTAAACCAAAGGTCACCTGAAGGTTACAAGGAACTCCAGCTGATCAGTTTGAAAACTAGCAAAAAAAAGAATGAAGCATTAATTCTACATTTTGTGTGTGGCATACTTTTGTATAACCACATTGTGTGGGAGATAGAAAAATGGAAAGCCATTTTGCAGCCCCTTATGAAGAATGGAGCTAGGAAAAGTCACTTTTGCTTCTAAAAACAGATGAAGCTGGGGATGTAGCTCAGTGGCACAGCACCTGCCTGGCAAATGCAATGTCCTGAGTTTGATTCTTGGTACCAAAAAAAAAAATCCCTTTCAGTATAGACAGATTGCAGGTTGATGAGAAACTTTTTAAGGGGTGGATCAGACTGGTAACATCTACTGATCAATTTTGATACCACAAAAAAAGGCAAAATTGGCACATAGGTCTTGATGTGGTGGGAAGTATGCAGTACAACTGTGTCACAGTTTTGCTGAATTTGAGTTTTATCAAGTTTCCAGAATCTCTTTTCAGGTAAACTGGAGTTAGAAAAATGTTAGACCACACCAGGATGCAGTGAGCAGAATCAGAAATGAGGGAAACTCATGACTCTACTTCTTCAACTAATAAGTGCCAGGAAAAACTTACAAGGGAGAGGAAATCTATAGGTTCAGAGGGACTCGGGGAGCATCAACATATCAAGTCTGCACCATTAGAATAAATTGACCATTAAAATCCTCCAGGGAATTTACACTTGCTATGATTTGATCATATGTTGTGGTAAGGATATATATTTTAGAGGTATTCTGGATATGATTTTGAAAAACTGATTTTGAAATATTGGCAAAGAATGAATGTAATGGTTAGATGTGCTTTAATCTAGAAGTGGGTACAGAATGGTTAGGTTTAGATGAAACAACGTTTATTGGAAGATATTGACAGTGAATACATAGGGGTTTGTAATACTCTAGTTTATGTGCTGTGATTCTAAATTTTTAAAAACTGAGTAGTTTTTATATACAACTATTTATATATACAGCTGATGGGGAGCAGGGTGCTGGGGATTAAATCAAGGCCTTCACACATCTTCAGCCCTTTTTATTTTTTATTTTCAGACATGGTTGCCCAGGTTGCCCAGGTTGCCCAGGTTCGGCTTAACCTTTGCTCTTCCTGCCTCAACCTCTAAAATGCTGGGATTACAAGTGTGTGTCACCAGAATTTATCGTCTTGAGAAACCATTTTATTCCCTTTCTTTAAGACTTCTTTTTTCTTTTCTAGGGAATTTTTTTAGGTTATATGAAAGCCATGATTCCTCATCACTAAGGCTTACCAGGAATACTGATTTTAAGAGAATAACTGGATTTTGCACCAAACCACAAGAAAGTCCCAAAGCTCCAACCAGTAAGTTTTTATTGGTTTTCCAGTTACAGACTAGATGACTTCCAAGGAATAGGGCACCCTGGAATCAGAACCCCGAGGAGAGGGCGTGGCAAGACCCCCTGCATCATCCCTGTCGCACAGCTCAGTCTCCCTCATCGTGCTCCCCTTCCTTCTGCCCATGTGCCATTTTGGTTGCATGCTTCCAGTCACGCTGAGCTTTCTGTGTAGGTCCAGGTGCACCACGCAGCTCAGACCTTCTCACTGACATTGCGTGGGAAGAAAGGGTATGCCATGTTAACTGCGATCCACCTGTCGATTCTTCCAGAACTAGGCCCAGGCAGGTCTTGGCGAGTGGGAAGAATGATCCCTAATGAATGTTACCAAGTGCTTAAAAACACTTCTGCCCTTTGACTTTTTGTTCTATCCCAGGGTATCCTAAAGGATAATCAGTGTGTGTAGAGAAAGCTTGGAGTACAGTCTTGCCATTTTTATGTATTTTGAAAATTAGACATACATTAAAATGTTCATAGGAAATGGTTAATATTGTATGTTAGGTCTACTTAGTGACATTATGCTTTGTTGGAAATGGTGCTTGTAAATATCATATACTAGTGTGGAAAATGTTACATTAATGAGCAAACCAAATCAAATGTTCTATATAAGCATCTACATCACATACACGCATATGTAGGCACTTACATCCCTACATGCTTATGGGGCTAAAACTGAGACAATTAATGGCAATTAAAATATAATGGTTGTCAGAGATGGTACTGCACACCTGTAAGCTCAGGCTGAGGCAAAGGGATTGCTGTGAGTTCAAGGCCAGTCCAGTTTGAACTGCATGGTGAGACTCTGTCTCAAAACAAACAAACAAACAAAAATACATATATATTCACACACATATCTATCTATATATAGTGGTTGTGCTGTAAAAGAATTAGGGGTGGTTGCAATTTTTCCTTTTTTAGATCTGCACTTTTCTGAAATATTCATAATGGATACGTCATAAGAGTTTTTTAAAACTAAAAAGTATTATTCCAAGTATTAGAAAGATACAAAGTTAAGAATTGTTTCTGTGCTTTAAACTTCTTTTCATGCTTTGGTTCTTTCTGTATCTTTTCTCTGGTGACTTTTCTTTTTTGCGGTCACTTTTGTGTGTTTTGTGCATTACTCTTTTTTTAAAATTTTGAATCAGGGTCTTGCCAAGCTGCCCAAGCTGGGTTTAAGCTTGCAGTCCTTTTATCTTTTGGCTTTTTGGAGACAGTCTTGCTTTGTGGGTTACGCTGGCCTGGAAGTTTTGGCACCCTCCTGCCGCAGCCTCCCACGTGCTGGATGACAGTTGTGAGCCTCTGCTCCCGACTCCAAGGTCTTTTAAATGTGATTGCACCATATAAACTTTTTCCTGCCCTATTACAGTCAGACAAGCTCCCGCACTGTCCGCCCCCCTCCTCCTCTCTCCCCCCCATTCCCACCCGTCACATCCAGATCCAGACCCGCATTCTGAGAGTCTAACCCAGAAACTATCTCCTGCTGGGCTGTATTCTCGGTGGATTTTTTCCTTTTTTTTAGGTAGGGGTTGTTAAATTGCCTAGGTGCCTTCAGCTTGTGGTGCTCATGCTGCAGCCTCATGAGCAGGAGGGGTTAGAAGTATGTGCTGCCACTCGGGCTTCGCTATTCCCTTAGGCTTCCTTTTCTCCCTTTCTTTGCATGTGGTGTTCATTCACTTTTTGGTAACTCGGGCTTGTATCCAGAAATAGTGCTTTTATTTTACCTCCGAGAGTTTTAGAACCTCATCTGAACATTCCTTATAGGAAATTCCATTCAAATAAAGTTCTAACAAGGGTGAAGAGCCACCCCGGCATTTGAGTAATGAATAGCTGAGCGAAAGTGGCATTTTACTGTAGCTGAAGCTGAGGAAGTCTCGGGTAAGCGTTCTGTTTGCTGTCCCCACAGGCACTTACAGCCATCGAGTGCCGCTGCACAGACCCACGGACTGGGAGAAGAGGATCCTGCTGTGGTCAGGGCGCTTCAAGAGCAAGGACCAAATTCCAGAGACGATCTCGTGAGTGCCGCGCCTGCCTCTGCAAGCAGCTTCGCTTCTCACTGTTTGAATGGAAAAACTGTACCTCTGAGATCTGCCTCTTTAAATCCTCTGAACCAAGTTCAGCTCTGTTTTGTTTTGTGAGACAGGGTGTCATTTTATAGTTCAGGCTGGCCTCAAACCCACGGCGATCCTCCTGCTTCAGCCTCCATACTGCTGGGATTACAGGTGTGCGCCACCTAGAAACATTTTTTAGTCCTCTAAATGTTTTGTCTTTGAAAAGTACCTGGAATGAAAACAATGTTTGGAAAAAAACACTTAGCCCTGGTGTGTTACATAACGACAGTGAAGAGCTCTGAAGTATAGTTGATTCGGCTTCAGCCCCTAGCTACAGAAGTGTGACTAACCCATGCTTCTTGGTGGGCTTTTAACCTGGGTATGTCAGTTAGGTACCAGGGCAACCACTATACTCTACATAATCTCAAGATTCAGCTTTGGGCACAAAAGTATTTAGGCCTAAGAGTGCAGCTGGTATAGCTTGGCCCTGAAGTGTCCCTGAGAGCCGTGTGTGATTAAGGCTTGATCCTCAGGGTGGCGCTGTCGGGAGGAAGTGGAAGTTTTTAGAGGAAGGGCCGAGCAGGGAGCGCCCTCAGGACTTGCAGTGCGTCCTCACAGGGACTGCAGGGCTCTGCTGCTTCTCCTGCTCTCCAGCCAGGAGGCAGCGGTCTTGCGCCAAGGCTTGTCTCTGCCGCCACCAGAGGCCTGGAGTGACGGGGCAGTTCATGGCACTGGAACCTCCAGAACCCTGAGCGGGAATCAGCTTCTCTGTACAAGTTGATTACCTCAGGGATGTAGTTGTGGAGACAGGTCTACCACTGCAGAATCATCTCTGTCTGAGGCAAGAAAGAGTGTGTTCGTTCTATCACTGGTTTCCTCATACCTGGTCTTGGCTGCCGTGGTGGGTGTTTTCACGGTGATGAGAGCAGGGCCTTCCAACCCAGGCTTTCTCAGCTTCACTACCAGTGACCTGGGGCCAGGGTCTGTTTGCTCTGCAGAGCTGTCTTGTGGGGGGACATTTAGCAGCAGCTTTTGCCTCTGCCCCCTCGATGCTACAAACTCACTGTCAGTAACACCAAACAAGAGATGTCTAGAGCCAGGAAAGGTGGCCCGTGCCTGTAATCCCAGCACCTGGGAGGCTAAGGCCGGAAGCTGAGCTACATAATGAGACCCTGTCTCAAAACAAAAACAAAAGGATGTCTGCAAACACTGCCTAATGCACCTTGCAGGGACAGAATGAACACTGTCACCACCCAAATTAGAAGCAGTGCTCCAGCCTGATGCTGAGGACACTGACCAGCTGGCATTGTGGCCAAGTGGGGTTCTGAGAAGGCCATGCTGGCGGCCTTGCCTGCACCATCCCACTTGGAGACAAGGACTTCAGACAAAGCCCCTCAAGTTCCCTTGCAGCAAAAACTCTTCCCAAACGCTCTTGGTTTTAAGTTATGGTGGGAAAGATCTGGCCTTGTACAGAACATCTTTTCCAGATGGGTATGCTGTATTTGCTTTCTGCCTGTGATAGACTGCATAGGGCCCTTCTGCTTCTGTCCATCCAGCTAGGTAGCATGTTCTTGTCACTAGAATGATTTTCTTTCAGCAGGGAAGTCCTGGTCCGTCTCAGCTTCCCTCTGAATATGCCTGCAGTGAGTAAGCTGGCATGTACCCAGTGCCCTCATTGGTGCTCTGCAGGACACCTCCCGTAGTCTGCCGTATGGTTTGGTCAGGATTCCCCGGACCACAGCGCTGCCTGCCGAGCCCTCTGGAAGGTCTGCTTGGGCTGGGCAGCCGTCTGTCTCCACGGAATGCACTCATTTTCGTTGCTTCCGATGGTGTGGGTGGCAGTGTCGTGACCTTACTGCATGTGTTTCACTGCTTTATGTTCCCTTAAATGTAAAATTCATGTTTTCCATGAGGGCCCAGCGCTTCAGTTGGAACTACCAGTTCACAGAGACTCCTGTCAGATGGGTCGTTGTGGTAGGTGGGTTTCAGATGCTCTTCGTCGAGCACTCACTGTCTTCAGAAGCTGTGCTTCCTGCTGCCCTCCCTCATGACCAGCTTCAGTGCTGTCCAGCTCCCAGCTCTTGTAGCTGGAGAGCTCTCAGGGCCTGGCTGCCTGCCTGTACCGACCCAGACCCAGTGATTCCCCCAAGTACTTTAAAAGAGCCATCTCCTCTCCTGGTTCTCAAACATATGTTAAATGTTGGGCGGCGGCGGGGGGGGGTATAAAGCATGAAAGGACAAGGAAAAAACAGAAATAAAGCTTCTATAAATAAGGGGAGGAAGAGGGGTTAAAGGGAAGAGAAGGAAATGGGATAGAAAGAGGCAGCAAGATACATCGTGTATAGGTACAGACTTCAGGGGTGAATGACATCATTATGTGTATCTAAAATGTATCAATAAAATGAAAAGTAAGAAGCACTCACATTCTGTCCCCTGGAGACAGTGGCTGCCTGTGGACGCCTCTGCTGAGGAGGCCGGAAGTTCTTCAGCCTGGGCCCTGTCCACGCCCCTGACTGACGGGAGGCTCTGCCCAGCGCCCGACAGTCACCAGTCCCTGGGAGGCCTTAGCTTTCATGCAGGAGCAATGGTCCAGCCAACCCTGGACTTTCTGTTTCGGCACTTGGCTATTGGACAGGATAAGAGAGCTGCGCTCTCAGCATTTGTCAAAGGCCACAAATGCCAGTGCACTGTCCTCAAGTTACAGCAAGGACGATGAAGGGATGGACACTTGCAGGGTCTTTCTCCCAGTTCAGATGAATAATATCTTCCCACTCAAGACAATGAAAAGCTGGGTTAGATGGTGGATGTTGTCTATTGGTTTCCTTTCTAAATTGTGTTTTATGTTGAAACCTACAGCAGTTACTCTCGGCATATACTTCAGATGAGTATGTCATGTAATCTGAAGAACCCAGAGAGAAGTCGCTGCTGGTTTCACTTTTAGCATTGGCAGCTAGAAACTTGAGAACCAACACTGGGGCCAAGATTATGCTTTGTAGGTTAATACATTATGCTGTTTTCATCTTTGTTGGTTTTTTGTTTGTTTTTGTTTTGTCTTTTTGAGACAGGGTCTCACCATGCAGTTTAGGCAGGCTTGAGCTCACTTTGTAGCCCAGGCTGCTCTCAAACTTGAAACCATCCTCCTGCCTCAGCCTTCCGAGTGCTGGGATTACAGGCATACACCACCACTCCTAGCTTTTTTTTTTAGAATAAAACCAAGCAAAATAAAACAATAAAGCCAGTCAAAACCAGACAGTGTGACACAGGATTTCAAAACAAGATGATAGAAAATCAACAGTGGTTACCATAATGCCTCTGGTCGTCTTCAAAATAGCTGTCCATACCTTCACACATAGTAAAATCAAACAACAGAGAAACAGAATAGAACCAATAAAAACAAAACAATGAATGCAATACAGGACTTCAAAACAAGATAATAGTAAATTCAAAGTGGCTACCACAATCTGTCTTGTCATCTTTGAAATAGCTGCCCATGCCATCAGATACAACAAAATCAAACAAAATAAAACAGAATAAAAGCTAACCAAACAAAACAATGAGAATGATACAAGACTTTGAAACAAAAGACAATAGGGGATTAACAATGGCCACCACCTTCAGGAGACCCCCCATGTATGCTACATTGCGTATTGTTATCCTCTGAATAGGTGATCACACTATTGGCTTTAGGCCTGCAGAGTCAGTGAAACAGTAAACACTACAAGCATCAAATTGTATTTGACCTCATTAGCTATCACCACAGCCAGATCAGCTGGTCGCTTATTTTGGAGGGAGACTTTGGCTCTTTTTGCTTATCTACCTGCTGGCTAGAAGGGGCTGGGGTCTGGCTCTCCCCTGGTGCCCGCCCACACATGGCACCCACTCGCAGGAGGTCTTAGCTTCTTGTTGACTTGTTCTCCTCCCCCACCACATCTTTGTTGTTCTGTGCCTGGCTCTATTTTCACATTTCTTCACTCATACTTTGCTGGGTGAGGTAACACATGCCTGGAATCCCAGAACTTGGGAAGCTGAGGCAGGAAGAACACAGAGTTCAAGGCTAGCCTGAATGTCAGAAAAAAATCATTTATACTTCAAATTTGTTTTCTTGCTGTTTATAAATAAAAAGTTGTGAAAATGGCCTATCATCCCCAAGCTATGGTGAGGTCCCCAGATTCTACTGCTTTTTCTCTACTGCTTATGGAAACACTACTACACTTTGGAGTTGTGCCACACACTGCTTGTTACCCTGCTGTAACTGAGAAAGACAAAGGTCAGTAATGTCTGTGTCACTCCTGTTGTATCCAGGTTTGAGATGCTCGATGCTGCGAAGAACAAGGTGCGGGTGAAGATCAGCTACATGATGATTGCCCTGACAGTGCTAGGGTGTGTCGTGATGGTGATTGAGGGCAAGCAGGTGAGAGCGGGTTCCCCTCTGTCCCTGCTCCCCCGGGAAGCTGGGAGGCAGGGAATGGCCCCTCACTTCCCTCTGAGAAGGGGAAGGTGCTTCCTGCATGAGAAGGATTGGACACAAAACAAGACCCAGTGGTGCTGATGGGAGAGCTCCGCCTTGGACAGTTAGCAAAGACTAATTCTGCACGCCCACGAGCAACTACTTTGGTTTTGTATAAAACATGTTGCTTATATAAGAATTAAGAAATAGGGAGCTGGCATCTGTGATAACCCTTTGCATGTTTGTAAAGCATCCTCTGTGTGTGTGTGTCTGTGTGTGTATGTATTTCCCCTCCCCTTCAACAAAACTGGCACTCTACCCCTGTGCTGCAGCCCCAGCCCGAGTTTGTTTCCTTCTCAGTACTGGGGATTGAACTAGGGCCTTTACAATGAGCTACATTCTCCAACCTTTTATAAGTTTAAAAAAAAGAAAAAAAGTTTTTTGAGTCCAGGTCTCAGAAAGTTACTCAGTTGCCTGGGCTGGGTTCAGATTTGCAAACCTCCTGCCTCATCCTCCAAGAGTGCTGAGATTACAGGAGCGCACCTCCACACTGGGCTGATAGTTGTTTTTATATTCAGTGGTCCTGACCAACCCTTTTTTAAAAATGTCTAATTCTGTGTGTCACAGTTGCCATGTGAAAAGAGATATTTTGTAACTGTTACCAGATAGGAAAAAGATTCTTCCTCACATCCTTGATTCCAAAGTATAAGTAAACATTTGGCTCTTTGGAATCTTAGTTACATGGAAATACTGACACTTTAGGTTGACTTCAAAAGAGTACAAAGGACCCAGAACGCCTAGTCAAAGTTCTTTGGAAAACACTTACCTGGTTCATCTGTCCCCACTCTGCCCTTTGTGATAGTTCTCAGACTAAATCCTTCAGGAGCACATGGACCAGGTACACAGCGTTCTAGAATCCTGAGAAGTCTGTGTTGCTTTTCTATGTGATTATATACACAGCGCTCACTTCAGGAACAGGTTATTCTCCTGGGGATCTTAATGACAGGTGTACACTGTGTGCCAGGAGAGTTCCTGTCAATATTGTCATGGCATCGACATTTCTAAATCTTGGCAAATGCTACTGAAATGGAGGGGGTTTTTTTTGACTGGAGGCAATTTAGATAAGTTAGCCACTGCATATGTTATCCTCACCATCATCTATTTCCATTTCTGCCTTAACCTCCCTCATCTGTTTTCTTAAGATAAGGTCTCCCTTTGTAGTTACAGGCACATATACCAAACCCCACACCTTACCTAATTCTTTGCATGTGACATAACACAGATGCAAGAAAAGACCAGGTTATATGGAGTGAGTTTCAGTTATTTGGCCGGAAAATGTTGAGAGTGGTCTATAGGTCAGCATCATAGAAATGTAACAGCCACATGGGGGACACCAGGGGTGATTGCCTTTCCTGCTGGTATTTGTTCAGAGTGGCGTTTTAGGATAACTATTACTGGAAGTCATCAGGAACAATATTTTGATAGTCTAAGGTTCCCAGATTTAGAGCAAGAGGCCACAAAGGACAAAAAGGAAGAGCACACACCTTCGCTCAGATGGGCGGCCTCAGAAGGAAGACATGGGCGGGCAGTGCCCATCCCTGCCTGCCCTCAGGCGAAGGTAGGTATAGCCCCCCAGCCTGCTGCAATCACTGTTCAATTGTGCTTCACTTTAGGCTGCCAGAAGAAACGAGTCTTTAACAAGCTTGAACTTAGAAAAGAAAGCTCGCATGAGAGAGGAATCAGCTATAAAGGCCAAAGCGGAGTAGCAGAGGACTGACTCCATGCTGGCTGGATTGTGCACATCCGGAAATAATGCAGCAACTGCCTGTGTTGAAGAATGTGGAATGTTGATCCACTTCTAAATGTGTCTCGCACAAGCTTACACTAGTTCCCTGTAGAGGTTTGAATAAATTCTCTTAAAGAATGAGTTGTTTGTTTTGATCTAAGTAAAATGCAGCCTCCCAGCTCTTGGGGGAAAGTAAAAATGAGACAACTTATTTCAAATTTAACATTTCTTTAGACAATCTGGTACTATGTCATAGTTTATTCCAGTCATTACCAAAGTGATATCCCTCCAGAAACTAAAATATTTTAGTGTGTTTGTGTGTGTTCTGTTTCATTTTTGTACTGGTGCTTGAATTAAGGGCCTTCACACTGGGCTACATCCCCAACCCACTCCTTTTTTGTCTGTTTTATTTTAGACAAAGTCTCTGTAGTTCACTAAATTGCCCAAGCTGAACTTGATTTGTAGTCCTCCTGCCTGCCACTCCCAGAGCCCTGGGGTTACACAATATCATCACCACACCCAGCTGTGTGGACTCACTCTGAAAAGATAAGGAAGGCCAAATGAGCACCCCTTCCAGGTGTCACAGAAAGCCAGTCTTTCCAAATGTTGGGTGCCTTTTGAGGGGCTGGCTCCCAAGAAAGCTCCCAACTACATTATCTTTGGGCATGCCAATAGATAGAAGCTTCTCAGAAAGCATTTTGAAAACGTCCTGTCAAGGTATATTGAGTGGTCTGACCAACAATCGTGGGGTTTAGAAACCTGCCGTCATGGAGTTGCTTGAGACTGCCCAGTGTGCTAGTGCCATGGCTGAAGAGTTCCCAGTTGGTCTGTTTCCTACCGCTTGAGAAACTGCATTTCTCAGTGATGAGAACTTCGTGCATTTTCTTGCTAGTGTTAAAAAAGCAGCATTTAAACCTAGCATGTTGTCATTTACAGTTTTGACTTTGGAATACCAACTTATCTCATTTTAGGTGTGGGTGCTGGTTTATATATACATTTCATAACGTGCACACGCCTTGTTAGTATTGAATACGTTGGTATTATTACCGTTTAACAGGTCATTCCTCCATCCTAACATGCTGAGTTTCCTGTTATAACAGAGATTAGCAAGTAATCCATGCAGCTGTGTGGGAACTTTAATACTCAGTAAGTGTAACACTACCTGTAGGTTCAGAATCTAATGTTAATGATATCTTGTCTGTGTACTTTAGAGTAAGCTGACCTTAGCTGCTTTTTAGGGCTCGAATTACTTGATTTTTATCACTTGCAAATTTACTATCAAAAAGCATTGTTTCTTATACATGTTAGTTTTTCTTCATCATTTTGGGACCCCTACACTAGTGTTTTAAATGTGGGTAAATTTTAATGCAGTACTTTTAAAAGTAACTTTATAGAACAATAAAATTTTAAACTGTTAATGAGCATTGAAAAGTATTATCTTGTAGATTTATTGTAATAAAATGTCTTACTAAAGCTTATTCACCCAACACTAGTGTCTGATTTTGTGTCATTTTCTATTCAGTAATGTACAGTAGTGACAGCCTCTTTCTAGGTTTCTTTGCCAGAACTTCAGACCTGCTTCTGGTACTCTTACATGCCATTTGTGCCTACTACTAGCTCCAGTGTACTGAAAACTTGTCAGCCCAATAAAATTTAATGACTACTATTAGCAGGTCATACTACATACAAAAAGAGGAGAAGTTTCGCTATAGTTGCTTTCAGTGAAATTCCTATAAATTACTATTTGTTAATGTCTACATCCCCCCCCCCATATTTATTATGTCTCTCTAGGTATAACAGACAGAAACCATTTTCTTTCAAAGTACTGGGAATTGAAACCTGGTCTCAGGCATGCTAAGGATCACTTTACCACTGAGCTGCTTTCCCAACCCCTTGAGACAGTCTTGCTCATTGCCCAGACTGGCCTTACACTGGCAGTCCTCTTGCCTCTACCTCTTCAGCAGCTGGGACTACAGGCATGTGCCACCATGTCTAGCTTCTACTTTATAAATTTTTCACCTTGCATTTCCTATTTCCTGTGTAAATAAAGTTAACGTATGAGGCTAGGGTTCCACAGTAATCAGTAATAGTCTGGGGCATGTATACTAAAATTTATCAAAAGCAAAGAATGAAGCTGTGATATCCACTGTCATTCATTAAGCATTTAAATCCCTTCTCCACGCAAAAATCAACAGTACAAAAACAGGTAACCATTACAACACAAATCAGTAAAGAAATTGTTTTTTTTTTTTTTTTTTTTTTTTTTCTTTTTAAGCCAGTCAAATTTAGCAGTGGGGGAAGAAATTGTTTTGAACTTAACCACAGAAACTGAAGAAGCAGGAACACCTAACTCAGCTGGGCACTGAGGTTGGCAGGAGGCAAGAAGTCATAAAGCCATGAAGTGATTTCTCAAATGAATCTCAAGTACCGGGTAGGAGTAATAGGTCACATACTGAAGGAAAGTACTGTCACTATTCAGATACAGAGTTTGCCTAATATGATAACAGAGGTCTGTATCAGTCACATTCCTGTTACTAAGACAAAATACCCAACACTCATAACTTAAGAGATTTTGGCTCACAGTTTCAGTGAGTTCAGTCCATAGTCATCTGAGTCCAAGGAAGGCAGAAAAATGGCATGGAGGATGGGTGCTCAACCTAGAGCAGCCAGGAATCAGAGAGAAGAGCTAGCGACAAAAATACACCCTTCTAGGTCACACCTGTTTTTACCTTCCTGCAACCCAGCACTACTTTATTTTTTTAATTTTAAAGAGAATAAAACAAAAATTATATGGCATTTCAAAATGATGGTAAGAAATTAACAATAGTTATATTGCATATTGCTATTTTCAAAATAGTTGCTCAGATTACCAAGTTTAAGCACGCAAAACTGATCAAACAATAAGTGCTAGCTGTTCTCTATGTGGGCTGTACTTTCTAACAGCACATTCAGCTATGAACTCATCAGTGGATTGATCCATTAACAGTGCTCCCAGAATCCAGTCACCTTCCAGAAGACACACCTCAAAAACATGGGACTTCAGGGGACATTTTAGATCACAACAGGGTCCTTTAACTTTTATACTCTTAGGATGAACCTAACCATGACTTATTTTTCCCAACTCAGACCTGATATGGCTTCATATTCTATCATCACCCACTTTACCTCCCCTCCATGTCTGTCATCACTATCCAGGTTCCAACCTTCCAAAACAAAAACTGCCAACTCACTTGCTTCTCTCAGTTAGTCATCTTGTCTTGTTGACTTTACTTTGAAATACTTCCCAAATATAATGACCTTCTAGGACAGTCACTGAGATGCAACAGAATGGGAAACTCTAGGGACAAACACATGAGATTCTTCGCAAACCTCAAGATTAGCAGGCATAAGTCCCAGGTCATATACTTGCTAGTTGAACTCTTCATTTGGTAAGTTTCAAAATCTTGCAACTGAACAGAATTTAAAAAAAAAAAAAAAACAAAAATCATACCAAAATTAAGAGAAGTCATTCTTTCAAACATCTAAGTTTTTTGTTACTGCTTTTTTGTTCAGTTTTTTGACAGGATCTCACTATGTACTCTAGGCTGGTCTCAAACTATGTACCCCAGGTTGGGCTCAAACTTGGCGGCAATCTTCCTGTCTCACCCTCCTGAATACTGGGATTACAGGCATGTGTCATCATGCCTGGATTTTGTTTGGTTTGTACTGGGGATTGAACCCAGGACTATCACACTGAGCTACATTCTTAGCCTCCACCCCCATGAGATAGGATCCCACTAAATTGCCCACACAGGGCTTGAATTTGAGATCATTCTGCCTCCACTTCCCAGAGTACTGGAATTATAGACATGTGCCACCACCTGACTTAAAATATATATAAAATATAAAAATATAAAATATATATATATATATATATATATATATATTTTTTTTTTTTTTTTGGCAGCTTGGCTTTACTACTTGATTTCCAAAGGTTTAGTAGTCACTCATCCATAGTTTAATTGTTTTGTCATTTTCCAGTGCTGCTGAGGCGATGATGTTTTCTGTAGGATGACAAGCTGCTGCAATCACAACATCAGTATGACCTTGTAATTTCTGTACAATCTCTTTAGTCTGAATGCTCCAAATGTACACCAGGTTATCCTCCGAGCCAGACACAATCCACTTTCCACCAGTAACTGAAAAATTGGAAAATATGCAGTATTTCTCATTCTTATGACCACTGTATGTCTTCAAACATCTGCCTCTGCTGTAATCCCACAGTTTAAGTGTACTGTCCAAAGTTGAAATGAGAATATATTTACCATTTGGAGAAAATTTTACAAAAGAGACAGGAAGATTGTCATCAACAGCAAGTGTTTTTAAACACTGACCCGAGGCAGCATCCCAGATTCTACAGAGGCCATCGTAGCTACCTGACACTATCAAGGACCCCGTGCTATTAAAATGAACAGCAGAAACTGGGTCAGAATGAGCAGTCAAAGTCTTAAGGCACTTTCCTGTTTTCACTTCCCATATTTTCACGCTCTCATCAAAAGATCCTGAAACGATTAGCGTGGATGCAGGGTTGAAATTACAACAAAAGACATAATCATTGTGTCCCTTTAGTGTTTTCAAACATTTTCCAGATCTCACATCCCATATCTTCAGGGTTTTATCATCTGAAGCGGAAACAAGACAACTAGAATCTGATGACCAGGCAACGTCTGATATTTCCAGGTTGTGGCCATATAGGGTTTTCTCGTAGTTCCCATCATATGCTCCCCAAATTATAATTACTTTATCAGCAGAAGAACTTGCTAGCCATTCCCCGTCAGGACTAAACTTAACTGAAGACACTGCTTCCGTGTGCCCCTCAAGAGTAAGTTTGAGCGCATAGTTCGGTTTTGTAGGCATTTCCTGGTGCCGCCAGGCTGATGAGAAGGCGCCTCGGGGCTCCTCTGCCGCCATGACTCCAAAGCTCCAAGACAGGCGGCGAATGAGAAGTTCTGCCCCAACCTACACAGGAGATAATCATCAGATTTTAAAACGTACGGTCTCGAATTATTACAATTTCTCCTTCGTTTTTAAACTGACTTGACCTAAATCTACAACATGGCCCGGCCTACTTTAGTTTTTCCTCTGTTTTGCGAAATACTTGCATGCGGCACTTTCCGAAAGGCTCCATGGCTTGTGGGCCAGTACTAACCTAGGGCGTCCGGGGTAGACCTGACTCCCATAAACTATTTTCCACGACCCTGCTCCCAGCTCCCCTGTGTTGAGACCAGGTACTTTTGGATCCACGAATCACTCACTGCTTCAGATATATTTAAAAAATTAAAAGAGAATCATCGAAAAGATAGGTCTGGCTGGAAAACTTGCTCCCATAATAGTCGCAGGGTTTAGCGTCTGTCACCAGCAGGGAAAGGGGAACAGAGCGCATGTGCACAGAGAGCACCAATGGGAGGCGCCTGTCTGCGCCTGCGCAAAGGAGGTTCCAGCGCTCGCATCCGGTCCCCGCCCTGCGGACGGAAGTGCCTTTCTCGATGTGACAGGTTAGTGTGGGAAGCAGCGAATCTTATTTCCAAGAACATGCATTTCTTTTTGAAAACTCAGGAGACCTTGCCGATACCCTTAGCTGTAGACTTAGGCCCACTCTTGCCACCTAAGAGGCCCGAACAGCGAGTATTTCAGAAGCCCGGCCGGGTCAACCCACCCGCCGCGACCTGTGACCCTGCGCAGGCTCCGCGGGTGGCTTTGTTCTGCCCCCTTCCGTTTGTGTGGTGTTAATCCTGGTAGCCTTTGTGCCTGCTTGGTCGTTGTGGGGAGGGAGAGTGGAGCAGAATTCATGCCCAGATTCTAAGACCTTTTAAAGTTTTCCGTGAAACTCGTTTCCCTGAACACTTTAAAAAGAAAGGATGTAGAATGTTAGAGGTCTTAAAGGGCCGGAAGAATACCTACTGCTGTATCCGGAGACACACAAGTTGTTTTCGCCCTGATGGTTTAATGTTAGTAAAACATAAAGTAGGAACGTTTATCTCCTTAAAAGTGCTTGAGGTTAAAGGGTGCGTGGATGATTACGACCCGAGTTAGGCTATTTTTGATTAGGCTTTGGAACAAACTTTTGCCTAGTTTTAAGAAATGGTTGTTAAAATAGGTGAACTCTGCACTCTTAAGAGGAAAGCTACTAATTAGCAAGGCTTACCAAAAATTTGGAAATCTGAATTATCCTTGCGATTGCTGTTACAGTACCCGAGGAGAGAGAAAAAGGTTCTGTATAAAAAGGCTAACCTGATAGCCAAGCTAAGAAGTCAAAAGGCAAGTATCTTCCTTATCCAAGAATTAAAAGGCAACGTTTTGGAAAAGGGTCTGCTTTAGAAGGCACGATATATCTTTAACTTACCTGTAATAAAACTAATAGTAAAAAACACATATTCTATGACTGTAGTCTGAAATTTGGACAAGGATTAGATTTATAAACTAGTGCAAACTAAGAGTGAAACACAAGAACACATCGGGAGTAGAACAGAACAGTACTGGATCTTTGAAATTGTTAGAGCACTCGCAAATTATAATTATTCTTAGCTGTTTACTAAAGCATGATCTCCATGAAACTCCTCTGTATAAGATTTCTAAAACTTTTCTTCCTTCAGTATATCTTAAACTTCAGTTCTTACTAAACCCTGCCTTTTCCCTCCCCTTTCCTCCTCTCAACGTGGACTAGCCTGGATTCTGCAAACTATTTCCATTTTCTACTAACTTTTGAAAGCACCGAGGGGAACTTTTTTTTTTTTACTGAGGAATCTGGAAGGCAGCTTTATTGATCTTACGCCAGCGGGCTGGGGGACTATAACAGAATCCAAATCCAAATCACCAGCCAGAGAGTCAGCTCTGAGTTCATTTAAATACAGTTTGCAAGCAGGAAGTGCAAGGCGGGTGCCAGGTTATCACCATTGACATGAATTGAAATAAGTAACCTATTTTCAGGCAAGCTAATTGTAAATGAATTTGCTTAAAATGAATCATTTACCATAATATCAGAACATCCTGGAGACAAAGGGGATTTGAGTGGAGCAAGCAAAGTTAAAGGTGTCTTTGCCTGCGTTATTTTGTCCCAAACAAAATCCTTGAAGCAAGTTGGGAACAATATATATTTATTTATTTATTTATTTTTAGGAATGGAACTGACAACCTCATGCTTGCCAGGCAGGTGCTTCTGCCACTGAGCTAAATCCCTGGCCCAACAATATATGTTCTTTTAACTAAGGGAAACAAGCTGGAGATAGTCAAATTGACCCAGCACAGTTAGAAACAAAGCAGCTGGACTCAGACAATCAAGGCTGACTGGGTTTAGCAGGGAAGGGACAAAATTTAGGCCTTTTCAAAGAATTTAAGCAAATTTGTTTTTCCAGTAACTACAGAATTAGGAATGTAAGGACTAGGATAAAGCATACTAGAGTATATTTAATTCATTGCAGATATCACAAATGAGGGAAGACACAGAATTAAGCATGTGTTGACAGGAATAACCAGACTTTTTCTTTTTCTCCAGATTTCCCCAAAATCTGATGGAATCAAAATCCACTTTTTCATGTGTGGGTTAAGAACAGCCTCAAGAACTCATGTAAATAAAAGACAATACAACCAAGTCTTGTTTACTCATTAGTCATGTCCTGATATTAACAAGTAACTCTTATGAGTTAGGACTAAGAATCTCATAGTTTTAGGTCTTTTGGAAAGGCAGAAGCAGTGCGTAGGGCATAGGAGGCTGGGGTGGGCTACTGGCAAGTGGAGCTCATGGGAGCAGAGTATCATCAGTACAGGTAAAGTCCGAAGTGGTAGAAATGATAAGCTTCCCAATCAAAATTCTCTCCATGCTTACCTCCTTTTTATTTTGCCACCCTTAATTTTCACCAGATAGGTGATTTAGACGTTAACTTTGTAGAAATCAACTAGTTTCTTTAGTATATCCGAAGAAGCCAGGTGTGTTGTTGGTGCACACCTGTAATCCCAGCACTCCGGAGGCTGACGCAAGAGGGCTGCTTTGAAGTTCAAGACCAGCCTGGTCTACAAAGTGAATTCAAAGCCTGTCAGAACTGCATAGTGAAACTATCTTAAAAAAATTAAATATCCCAAGTTTTGGAATTGAGTCATCTAGTTGAAGGATTTCCCTTGTCCTTCAGTAAAATTTGCAAATACTCTAAACAAAAATGTTGCCACAAATGGGCAGATTTCTTAAAAAAAAAAAGTGTATCTGCCATACCTAACTATGGCCCAGATTAGGGATTAACTAAGGACTGCTTTGAATACCTTTCTTTGTAGCAACTTTCAGTCCTCTCTTGCAGTGATACGGCTCCAAAGTAGGCCTCCAAATGCTCTATCTACCACTGAGCTATCCCAGCTCAACTACGAAATCCAGCTCTCAAAATCAAGCAGTAACGATTATGTACATACCCAGATCCTTTAGACTCCTAGCAATGTGTGAACGTGTATGGTTAGACTGGATATGGGTGGCAAACGGACATTTTTAAAAGAGACAAAACATATAACATGTTAATTGGACAAATTTAAACTGAACTGTCCCCAGCAAACTTTAGTCACTTCCCAAGAGGACTCTCCTCAGAATAACTTAAACCTTAGCAAATTCTATACTTGGTAGCTTACAGCCCAGCTTGTCTTGGCCTCTCTCAAATCGTGAAATTCTCTCCCACCACCACTAGTGGTCTCTGAGACTTCATTTTCTCAAGTCTGTGGCTTTACCTTAATGCTATGCCCACATAATGGGTAAGACTCATTTTTATTACAGACCCTATACTGGACTCTACTATAGTTTCCTCAAGTTATGCAGCTATGAATAAATGTAATTCTACTTTTTGCAAAAACGAGTGATCACATAAATGACCCCATATTCATTTGAGGTTAAACAATGATTCTCAAATGGAATGAAACAGGGAAACAGCCATCCAAGGTGACTTAATTTGTAAACCCTGCAACTTTATACTACAGATAAAACAATACTGTGTGCATAAATAGCCTGTGTTTTGCTTCACTATGTTTGTTTTCAGAAAAAAATTCCTGGTCGATGGAACTTCCAAAATAAGAAAAAAAGAAAAAAAAAAAGGCTGAGGGCTGGACATTTAGCTCAGTGGCAAGCAGGTGGTCTTAAGTTTGATCCCCAGTATAAAAAAAGAAGGATGAGTAATGGAATGAAGAAATACATGATCTTTTTTCTCCTACCCATCTGTCATTTAAACTGAAGGAATGGATAGTGTTCTTCTCATGCCACAGAACGTGTGAAAATGAAAAATTCATTTACTACCCAGAGGTACCCACTAGCATCTACATCAGTTACACATATCTGATAAAAACTTTAAAATCTACCACAATATACAGGACATTTTGGGTATATGTTAAATACTTGGGGTTCATTATACATTAGCATGTAGAATCTATCCATTAATTTTTGTTTGTCTGTACTAGGGACCAAACTCGCGACTGTGCACTTGCAAGGCAGGCGCTTATGCAGCTGAGCTAAATCCCCGGCCCTTCCATTAATTTTTCTAACCTGTTACGTAACAGATCTCTGCCATGACAGTATTTGCTTTTGTTAACTTCAGGTCATATTATGTCTTTTGAAAGGTAACTACATTTAAAACACTCAATTGGGACCCTTGCTTTGATAGCTGTTAATCATGGCATCAAACATGAAACAATGACTTTGTATTTTCCTTCATCAAGCATACAGAAAAGCATATTCCTTCATTCTTAGTTTCTATCCAATGCCTCCTGTTTACAAGGCACTCACCCACAGCCTGAATTACAAAGGATCCTTAGAACCATCCCAAATCAACATCAGAATACTTGCAAAAACCACAGAGTGGTCAAAATGACTTGAGAAGGAAACTCAAGAAATAGAATAAAGGGAGCTATTTATGGAATGATACTCCTTTAGGAAGTGGCAGATTCAATCCAGAGGCTGCTTTTCAGCATCAACACCTCTATGTACACTTGAATTGAAACGTTTTAGTTATTAATAAAATCACTTGCATAATTTTAGCCTGTGTGGTTGCAAATGACTGATTATATAGATTTCTAGTGCCAGGCAGGGAAGATTGTTTGGGCTAAAGGGCTATACATGCATGTGTACACTGTAAGCAACTTACAACTAGTGGAGTCATTTTAAGGGTGGTGATGTGGAGGAAATCAGGAAGAATATGCCCAACAAAAGGGACCATGACTAGGCGAAATCTACTTTTGGAGTTTGAAGTACAGAATTGCCACAAAACAAATGACTAACTTAAGACAGACTCCAGGCCTCCTCCTCTCTCTTGAGCAGCCAGTATTGTGACCTTGGAACAAAGTAACTTCTAAGTTTGTATTTAGTCATTTATGATATAATGGTAATTATCCACATCACAAACAGCTGTGAGATTAAGTCTTGCTTGGCACATAACAGATGCTCACATAAACAAGGTGCTTTTATCTAACCTGTAGGAAATTTAAATCGGGTGTCTTTGTCTATCCTTAGCTGAAATAAAATGGAACTTCTTCTGGCCTTCTTATTCCAAGGTTACAGATGCATTTTATGTTCAAAAGCAACCCAATTCTCTGTCTAAATTGTATTTCTAATGCTCAAGGTACCCATTCTAATAACCTATTCTTTTTTAACAATAAAGCATGTTATGGAAGTGTTTTTATATCTTACTGTATCATCTTCAATTATTAGCCTTCGATTACTTTTAACATTTTTAAAAAATTAACTTTTGATGACAGAAAAACCAGCACAACTTAGCAGATACATAATCTGTTCACTCAACAATTGAAGAAAATAGCCTGACTAATCCAGGATATCAACATATTTCATTTGAAGCTTTCATTTACAGGTATATCTATCTGCAAATGAGCAAACTTTGGAAGGTAGAAGGTAGCATACAGTAAATAAATTAAATGCAAACCACACCCCTTTGTTTACTGAAGATCTTAGACATCAATTTCTTATTTACATAAAAATCCAACCCCTAGCAATTATCAGTTGGACATTTTTCACAAAACTAACCACTGAAAAATCTCTTGATCCAAGGAAAATCTTTTTATAATGCATCCTCAAGTGGGGGATCAAATAGCTGAAATGTTTATTTAGCACTAGAGAAATAAACTCCAAGTTGCCTGTAAGTAGCTATTTACAATAAAGGATTTAGTTGACAGTCTTGTTGATAAAATATACTTAGGACATATTTTTTCTTAGAATCAGCAGCAACTGGTAGTAATTCAGGTTTATTATGGGACAATTGCTTTTTTTCTTCTGTGACAATAAAGCTGAAAATGACCCAGAGTCCAACTTTATCTGATATGTGGAAGAAACAATTCTAGGACAAGAGTTTTCAAAAGCAGTGCTACTGACAGAGGCAATAATTAAAAAGGGTCTTGACAAGAACAGCAAGCGCTGCATCCGTCATCTTTATCTTCCCCGGTGTTTCTCCATCCAGCCATATCTACTTGCTGATCCTTCAGACACCAGGTGCCTTCACAAGTTCTCTGAATGATTTTTGCCCACCAAAGTTCTCATTACAAAGACATACTTTGAAATTTTGAAGGGAGGGGTGAAAAAAAGGGAAGGAAAAACAAAGCCACATTCCCTCAATAAATATATGAAGCCACAAGATTTCTTGTGTTGAAACTGACATGTTCTTGTATGAGAAACACCTTGAGATAAAAGTACTCAATAAACTAATAAATTGAGAAATTATTAGGGTATGAAAAACAGAATTTATAGTTCCCTCTTACAGTGCCATTTCTACAAAAGACTGCTTTACCAGTATCAAGCTCCAGCACATATGAATTATGCTGGATCTAACTTCAATCAATTTTAATTTTTATACTTAAAAAAGCATTTTATTATAAACACAAAAGGTTTACTTCAGATGTTAAGGTTCATGAACTTCTATGACCAGGAGCAAGATAAATTCTTCTGTTTTAGACAAAATAGATCACATAAGTTAAGTAGACTTTGTTTTAATTCATTCATTGAGATTCCTGTAATTGCCAACAAAAATTCCCACTATATGCTATTCTTACTAATGTGGGGAGACAATGTTGTGTGCTTTATAGTTTTACCCAAATTGATTCATAAAATGAAAAAAATTAATAGAAGGTACATAATTTAAAACATTCTATAGAAATGACACATTACCAGTAATTTACAATTTAAAAAAAAAATCAGCCACAAAAAAGGTCAAAGCTAAAAACAAGATTTTTACTATGAATCAGTGCTCTATTACCCTTCTGAAAGAAGTTATACTTTAATGTGATGTAAAGGCAACATTGAAAGTTCTTTAAATTAACCACCTAATTTATCCCTAAAGTTACAAAGAATCAAAGTCTTTTACAGGTCAAGTGCGGTAAACTAAAATGTTCTCTCAGCACAAAGCAGCACTAGAAAAAATAACAGTATGGATTGGAGTTGACAAGTTTTGCAGTGGCTGCTCCATCAATAACAATAAACATCAGACAGTATCCATCCCAGAGCACAGACACTAGACTAGAAGCGAAGAATGCATCACACTCTTGGCTGATAAATATCCTTTGTCTTTGAATCTACTTTGAATGAAGTGAATTTTTTAAAGAAGTGTAAATCAGGTCACATAAGTTGGCTGCTTAAATATCATGATGAGGTATGAAAGCTCTGAATATCCCCTACATTCAGCAGGATTTACCAGAGACGAATAATAGCTTGTCAGGGGCAACTCCAGATAGTTTTTACTTTGGGATTACAACGAATTCTAGAAGAGTGTAAGTTCTAAGGAAGTTTAAAAGGATATGCTCTGAAACAGAAGTGAGCAACTTTTCCTTCAGAATTCATTTTGAACAGAACATCATCAAAATATCTTCTCTGTCAGTATCCCAACATTGAATCATGATGGCCAACTAGCACCGAGAAGTCGTATTGAACTCATTTGCAGTTCTCTTGGCAATTAAGCTTATTTTTTCATTCCAGTCCAAGCACAAATGTGGATCAGTGAACAGAGTACTGGAAGCGCCATTTGCATGTACAGATTGCAGTCACCATTAAATGAGCCAGAAGGTGGACACTGGTTTTATTGGGGTGTGGTAGGGCACTAGCATTAAAAAAAAATGATGAGGAAACCATGAGGTTAGGAGAAAAAGATCACTGCCCTTATGTGGGGTAAGCAGGTCATACTGAGATTTGATTTTTAAAGATAAGGAAGCTATGTTACAGGGATCAAATACGCAGTACAACTATATTAGAATCAAGCTGCACCTAAGGGGGAAAAACCAGTAAGTAACTTTAAAAGTGTTATCTGCCATTCTGAGGAGAAAAGCACCTAGGGTAAACTCCAATTCACTGAGGACCTTGATCAGGACCACAAAGCCTGAAACATTGTTCTATATTGCAGAAACACAGCCTCTCATCACACTGGTTGAGTCTGGGAAAATTGGAGGGTTTGTTTTTCTTATTTTAAAACTGAATTACAAGATAGGTGTGTTTAGGCTAAAGACTAAATCTTCATACCAGCACTGGAACTGAACCACTTCCAAATCCTAAGACACATAAGACCAAAGAGAAGCAAAAGCCATACACATTAATATGTGCTCCTCTCCTTTCCGCTTTAAAGGATCTGCAAACCAGTATTACATTTAAGAGTTAAAAGTGTTAATTCCTCAGCATTCCCGACAACTAGAAAGCACATTCACTGAAGGCTGAAGGTGAGGGAGTGGATGGTTTAACTTTTAACATCTGAAGAATGGTGCCAATAGAGAAAAGAAAACCATCCAATCTCAGTAAGGATTAATGCAAATTTGGCTAGAAAAGCCACCAGGTAATCCAAGGATTCACTGTGGAAGAACTCATGAAAGTACTCTGAAGTATACACAACAGGTCTAAACATCTCCCTTGTCGCAAGTAGTTATGTGAAATTCAAGATGAAGGTTTAGTTTTATATTTTAATGTCAGTATTTTTTCCCTCACTTTAAAGGGATTGAGGAAGAGTCCTCTTTTTCGCCACAAAAAGGGAGCCACATTAGTATGTGTATATTCCCACGACTCTAACGTAAGTGCGGATCTCCAAAGCCTAGGGATTTTTCCGTAAGAGTGGGCCGTTCTGGTTACTCTTTTGTTACAATGGTATTCCACCATGGAGAGCCAGAGGTTTTCCAGGTGTGTGTAAGAGAGCAGGTGCGCAAGGCAAGCAAATGAGCGCAAACAGTATTATGGAAAACATTCGAGAAGTTAGCTCCATGAGGACTCTGGGCTCCACACGAGAACGCGACTGCGTAGCCTGGTCTGACACGGGAACACGAAAGCAGAGTATTGCTTCAAAGCTGGAACCCTTCCATAGGAGCCTCGCACTGCTGGAAGATGTACTGCTGCTGGCTAAGGTCAACCTGTGGAGCAATGCTGCTGTCTTCATCTTCGGTCCCAAAGTAATGCTCAATAAGATCAAAGGCCTTCTGGTAGATCTCCTGGTTTTCATGACTCTGTAGGAACTCAATTTTATCCAGACCTAGAATGAAGAATAAAGGAAAATCTTTATTGGAGAGTCTCATAAGCTTTTTATCACAGGTGTCCTTCCTGGATGTAAACAAGGCTTCTCTATTTATAATAGTATAAAAATGACTTCCAGGACTGTATCTGAAAATAGTACAGTGGCATCTCAGTTTATGAATTTAAGTCTTTGTCAGGTTCTGGAAAAGATGACCATTTGTGTTCATGCAGGAAAGATGGCTGTAAACATAATGTAGAGTTCACAAAGACAAAATTTCCCCAAGTACTTCAGTTTGCAGACCAAACTGTTCAAAAACAAAAGCATCTGAACGAAGCTACCACTGTATTATGAACTGCCATTTTAAACACACATGAGAGACTATCCAGTCCACAGAAGGAGCAACTTCCGTAACAACTGCCACATCATCCACTGTCTTGTGTGTTTTCCTGGACTGTATTTAGGACCTAATTAATCTTTGACCATAAGTTTCTTCAAAGCATCTTACCATAAGCTTCTTCAATCAAAGCGCAGTAAGGGTTAATGCCAGTGCCATTCCTTTTGGCTTCCTGTTCTCCAAGCCTCAGGATATTTTCCAAGCCATTTAAGGCAACCTGTACAATCTTAGAGTCCATGACAGTGAGAAGATCACAGAGAGGCTTGATACAACCCAGTTCTACCAGGTACCTAAATTAATACAAAAAAAATTAGGCAAATGAAATTTTTAATTATGGAAAGCTTTCATGAAACTGGTCAAGAGTCATCCTAAAATTCATTATACAGAGAAAAATAGGTAACCAGTCAACTCTACAAACTACACCTTATTAAAAAAAGCTACGAAAAATTAAAACCCATTTTCTAATAACATATCCATTCTTTTTTCCCTTCACAGGTTTTTGATTTTCAAAAAATGGAAAATTTGGGAGCTGGGGATTTAGCTCAGTGGCACAAGCGCCTGCCTTGCAAGCAGGAAGTCGTGAGTTCAATCCCTGGTACCGATGAAAAGGAAAAAGACAAACAAACAAAAAATGAAAAATGTTCTCCATTCTTAGTATCAACAATCCCTGTTCTTTGGCTAGATTGATATCACTTGTTTCAACAGAAAGCCACACGTTAAAGTCTCCTAAAAGCCAGCACAAACCCAAGAGGCCAAATCTTTCAAATGTGGTAAGAATTTTATTAAAGTAAATTGTGAGAAGCCTATGGGAAGAATAAGATAAATGTAAGGGAATTTCTTTTAATACAGAGAGAATTTAACATGCAGTCAAACCGAGATACATCATACTCAGCACGGAGATACATCACACTCAGCAGGTGCCCATGTCATTAAGTATCATTCTAGTTTCTCAAGCTGTGTAAGGAAAGGCAGATAATCCAGGTGCATTCTACAGACGTGAACGTCGTTCACTATTTCTCTTTCCACATTGTTTTTTCTTTAACACGTTCACAATGGGGCTATACATTTATTGATTAATTGATTGATTATCTTTTTGAGACAGGGTCTCACTATGTAGTTCAGGCTGGTCTTGGGCTCACTTTGTAGCACAGGCTGGTTTCAAACTTGCAAATGATTCTCCTGCCTTAGCCTCCCAAGTACTGGGATTACAGCAATGTGCCACCATGCGTGGTTTTTGCGGCGTACATTTATGACTGTACTGTCATGCAGCAAGTACCAGTCAATGAGACTTTACCCATTCTGTCTGACGGGACAGTCATACATGTACCATCAGTGGTTCAAATCAGCAGGAATATGTTTAAAAAATGGAGAGGATATACAATTACTAACAAAGAAGGTGATTCATTACTAATCCCATGTACATTAAAGAAGAATATTAAAACAACTCTGTCCTCATAAATTTAGTAACTGAATATGAAATGTATCAATTTCTTGAAATACACAACCTGTCAGAATTCACACAAGGAGAAATGGATAATTTGAGTAGGCCTGTATGTGTTAAAGAAGGTGCATCAGTAATTAACCTTCCAAAACAGCACTACGAGATGGTCTTACTGGTGAATTCTGCCAAACATTTAAGGACAAAATGGTATCAGGATTCTTACAATCTCATCGAGAAATCAGACACAGGGAGAACACTGAACTCATTTTTAATGATGTCAGCCATTTCCTGTGTACCAAAACTACGCATTGTAAGAAAGAAAAATTACAGATCACTCTCGCAAAAACATAGATGCAAAAATCCACAATAAAATATCAAAATGTCACATTCATAACTGTGTAAAAAGAATTATACATTAAGTGGGACTTACTGTGGCTGATCTAATATTTAAAAAATGCATCATCACTTCAATAAATAACAAAACCCAACACTCATGATTTAAAAAAAAGAAGAAAAGCTAGGCACAGTGGCATACAAACCTGTAATCTCAGTACCCTGGGAGGCTAAGAGGATCACAAGTTCCAGCCCAATCTAGACAACACAGCAAGAGCCTATCTCCAAATCAAAATGTTTTAAAAAGAGTAAGAAAAAGCTCAATACAAAGACCATGCACTCAACTACCATTACCACAAACAAAAAAACTCTCAGCAAACTAAGAATAGAGGGACCTCTGTTAACTTGATAAAAACCACACAGCAACAGACTTGATGAGAACACCCGGGAACAGGGGACGGGTGTGCTTTCATATCAATCCTCCTCAGCACTACACCTGAAGTCCTAGCTAATACAGTAAAGAGAAGGAAAAATAAAACGGCGTATGTATGTGTGTTGTACTAGAGGAATGGTCCCAAGACCTTCACTGAGTTACATCCTTGGCCCTTTTTAACAATTTTGAAACAGGCTTACGAACTCATTAAAATGTCCAAGCTAGGCTTGAACTTACAATCCTTCCACTGCCTCAGCGTCCCCGAGTACTGTTATTACGGGCATGTACCACAAGGCCTGACTACAACTCTGCTTTCAGATGATACCATTATCCATGCAGAGAAATACCTAAAGGCTTACCCCAAATCTGCACTAATAAGCAATTACAGCAAGGTTTTCTGATACAAGGTTAAAAAACAAAATTCAATTGCTTTGCTGTATGTAATAAACTGGAATTTGGAATTAAAAGCATAACATTTACTGTAGCATTAAAAAATATGAATCTAACAAAGTAGTTCCAAGGAAATAGTCATATAAGGAAAACTTGCCACAGAAAGGAAGAGTTGCAAAACATGTATCTGATAAAAGACTGGTGGTCAAAACATACAAGCTATTCTTAAACAATAACAAAATAGAAAGGCCATTTAAAGACAGTCAAAGATCACAAAGGAAGATACACATATAACAAATACAATTATAAAACAATGCTCTACACCATTTCCTTACAGTATCAGGCAACTACAAGAGAGCAAGATGCTGGTGAAAACTATTAGGAATGACCGAAGCCCACAGGAGGATGCCAAATGCTGACAACCATGCGGGCAGCAGGACTCACTCACTGCACTAGCGATGCCCAAGAAGACACCACCTCAGAAGATGGACTGGCAGCTTCTTAATACACGTCTTTATCAGTGACCAAATCAATTTATTTTCTGTAATTTATGATTTTTGCAATTATCTTAAGTTATTTTTCCACCTAGCTAAGAAGAAAATGGTAAAAGACTGATAATTCATTTGGCAAATTTTACAAAATTCATATGGCAAATTTTATAAAAGGAATGTAACAATTGCCTAACAAAGCAAAATATACCCGAATATATTAAATTTTAAAAATTTTTAAAAAGAAATGTAGCAATTCACTTTTCTAACACAGCAAAATATACCTGAGTATTTTCTAATGAAAGACAGCGGTATTTTAGAAATGGTTTAATGCTTAGCTGCACATGGGGGCAGCACTTGGGAAGCAGAAGCAAGAGGGCTGCTGCCAGTTTGAGGCCAGCCTGGACTACATAGCGAGATCTTGTCTCAACAAACAAACAAAAAGCATGTATGTCTAGTTATTTCAATTTAGAAAACATTGTAGAGGGACACAGATGTGCATACCTATAATCCTAGCTGGCTGGGACACTGAGGTGGGAAAATTTCAAGTCTGAGGTCAGCCTGGGCAGCCAAACCCCTTCTCAACAACAACAAAAAAAGGAAATAAAGAAAACATACCCTGCTGGGCATGCGTAAGTCCCTGGGTTCATCCCAATGAAAAATGGCAGAGACAGACAGACAACTGGTATTAAAAAGTCAATTAATGATTACAAATCTGAACTACAATATGAATCTTATTTTTAAAAAAAGATCCTGTATTACTTCATGTCATTACCATCTCCACTGGTAACCCAGGATCATACTCTTAAAGAGAATCTGAAAAAGACCTATAAGATAATACGCTTCTGAAGATGTCTTCCTTGAGTAACTTGTCTAAGATAAACTTTATTGAAATAGATACTACATATGTTAATCTTTATAAAATTATTTCATATACATATATCTTTTTTTTTTTAAACTTTTTTTTTCATTTTTATTGGTACCAGGAATCGAACTCACGACCACGCGCTTTCAAGGCAGGCGCTTATGCCGCTGAGCTAAATTCCCAGCCCCCCATATATCTTCTTTTTCATAGTACAAAGTACTGTTGACTGCCTAAATCTGACCTACTAAATAACAATGTAAGAAGTAGCTATGTCTGTCAGATGTTATGTATCTGGATGTGGTGAATGCTTTCAGTCTTTGAAACCATTTTCCCAAATTAGTAACATTAAGTCAGGCTGAATGTCTAAGTTCCCTTTCTCCTTTTACCACTTTTTTTTTCCTACTGATGATATCAGATGTCAGGCTGGGCATGGTGCTGCACACCTGTGATCCCAGCACTCAAGAGGCTACTGAAGTAGGAGGACTAGTAAATTACAGGCCAGCCTGGGTTACACAGTGAGCTCAAGACCAGCCCAAACGACACAGCAAGATCCTATCTTCAAACAAACAAACAAACAAATAAAACTGTATGTCAAGAATTCAGCATTTAATTGTAGGATGCTCCTTTGAGGAACAGATTCTCTTCCATTCCATATTTAATGCCTTATTTAATGTTCACTAACATTTACTGCTACAAATCAAACCACTTACCTAAAAACTATTCTAAATCTCTTCCTTTACTGAGGACCATAGTACTTGAGAAGGTATGTGCTTCTACTGAATTTGGCAGTTTATTCTAAAGTATTCCTCTTCCAAGTATGGTCAATTCTACTACTGAGATGTCTAACTTAGAAATAGCAAGGGCTATCAAAGCTAGCTCCACATAACACTACCCAACACGTTTCTTACCCAACAGCTCCAAAGTAGCCTGCAGCTACCTTGTAAGTGTTTCCACTGCATGAAATCTCAATAGGTACTTTCAGCAAAAAGAAATGACAGGTTTAAGAAGTTAAATGTACATGAGTCTAATTATGACACTGAGAACAATTTTCCAAAGGGCCAGAATTAAGCATTCTTATTAAATAAGATCATCTCTCCCCTTATTCCTTAAACACAGTTAATTTTTCATTCCAGGAAATATTAAGGAAGGAGGGTTGTAAACACTGTAGTAAACTTTCTTTTATTTTACAGGATCTACCTGAAGAGTACTTACTTGATCTGTTCAGCTGATCCTCCCGAAGTTGCATTTGTGATGGCCCAAGCAGCTTCTTTTCTAGTTCGAAACTCAGCAGTTTGTAAAATACTAATGAGGGCCGGGAAAATGTTAGCATCTATCACAGTCTGAAATTAAAGAAAAATTAAAATGGAAAAGATTACTCCTAATACTATGTGATGTTGCTCTTGACAGTATCGTTCTGAGTGACTCAGCAGCCACTCGGGACTGGAGGAACACATTCCTGAGTATGTCAGGGAGGGCCGCAGCTGCGTGGCCCTGAGATCCACATTCGGCCCTCCTCTATCAATCTTTACTTCTATATCCCAGGCACGGGAACTAAGCAGCTTTGCTCTGTCACATCCTTTAGCCATGTCATTTCTGCTTTGGAACCAGAAACACTTGAATCCCCTAAATGGAAGCCAAGTTAAACCACTCTTCCTTTAAGTTGTGGGTGTCCAGTAATGAGAAGGCTGCACAGCACATACTAATTATAACTTTAAACTAGTTTCACTAATGACACCCATCCCCTCATTAAAAATAAAATTGAAAGCAGGTAAGGTGCTCATTATGCTTAACCATTCCGTTAGCCTAGTCACACAGGCCATACATGGTACCACGCAAAACAACCATGAAGGAGTCTGCGGTCTTAAAATCTAACTTCCTCCTCTATGGTCCCTAATTTTTCCAGCCTTAGTAAGTCTAACAAGCTCAGTCCTCTGTTCCTCCACTACTCTCCTTTCTCTCGCTGAACCCACTCTCCCGCCACGTGAGCTGTAACTACCACCGCAGGTCTTAAGCTTCAGCCTGAAGCAGCGGCAGCTTACTTTACATCTGCTCTTCATCTCAGACACAAGATGTGTCCTCCACTGCAGCTGTGCCTTTATATCTCTCTACAAAGTTCTGTATCTTTTCATCCTCAATTCTGTCACCTAATCTCCTTATCATTCTAGCTGAACACATCCAGCGTCCATCTCTTCCTGTCCTTTAAATTCATTGCTGCTATCCTTTCCCAAGTCACCACATCCTACTGTGATTATCAGAATGTTATTAGTTGGATTAAGGACTTTTACTCCATCTCATTTACATATTATTATTAAAGTCATCTTCTTAAATTACTTTCTTCATGTTTTACATTGGCTCAGGACTATAAAGTGGGTTTGCTTACACTTCCTGTAACAAGAAACTGAGACGCTATGTCTAAGATTGTGGAGGTAGCAAGTAATCAACTAGAGCTGAAATCTCATACTACCAATCGCTATGGCCATGAATCCAGGTTCCTAATTCAGCCTTCTGGGGACAATTAACCATGCCCTTCGTGGTCAAGAACTGCTACTGCTACGGTTCCACCAGTGAATGATGTCTGGTAGGCTCAATGAAAGGATACCCATTATTGGTCCTAGCATTCGATGGAGATAACCTTGAGGAAACTTTTATTTCTCTGAGCCTTGGTTTTCTTTTTTAAAAAATTTATTTCTATTAGTAAATAATAATTATATATTTATAAGCGAGACTGTAATGCTTCAATATACATATTCATGATGGTTAATGAGATTGTAAGATTAGATGCCTTTTATGATTCCACTTATTTCCAAGTCTTCTAAAGTCTAAATCCTATCTTTTCCAACCTGCTGTTCAATTTCAATCAGTGCTTATGATGAACATCCTGGCCCACTGCTTGTCTTCTACACAAGTTACTCTCCCACTGACCAACAGGCAAAACCCATTTAAAGAAAAATAGGTCTCCAGACTTCATGAGGAATTGAAACAATCTGTGCTATGGATCCACCGGAGAGTAATTATTTTACTTGGCAAAGGTAAAAGCAATATGCTTAAAGTCCATCCAAACATTTAAAAATACAAGATACTTATTTGTTGATCTTAAGTATATCATCAAATATTGGAAAAGAGAAAAACAAAGACCTAAGTAAAACTTTGGGACTATAAGCTAGAAAAAAATAAGTACACTATGAATGTAGGAAGTTAGTGGCTTTCAAAGCAGTAATAAAAACTTTATTTTAAAGGCTGACTGAAAAAAATTTTACCAACCCATAAAAGCACAAACAAAAAGACTGTACTGTGAGATTACCTGGATCTGTGCCCTATTTCCAGCTGTGATATTGGATATTGTCCAACATGCTTCCTTTTTGATAGATTCTTTTGGGCTACTCAGCAAATGCAATAAACTCTGAAGAGCTGAGCAATTCAAAATTACCTAAAAGGGAAAGTTTAAAGTTTTACTATGTTGTTCCAAATAGAAATAAATCTTTCCTCAAGTAACTTAGGAAAACTAGATGTCACCCTCTGACATTTTATAAATAAGTTCCTTTACATAAATATTAGTAATTACAATAAGATCATTCACTCATCTTCCTATTCCTACAGCTGAGTCTCCTATATGGATTAACATAATAAGTAAACAGAAAATCTCAGTTTTCAAACCTTTGGCAACACTATACTTTCCAGTCAAAAACCAATATATGCATGTGCTTTATAGGACACAGAAGAAAATAAGCCTATCAAAGAGCTTACAAAAATAAATAAGACAAATATATATGAAAATGGGCTTACTGTACCAGAAATTAAATCATAAAGTTAGAATGCTTAAAATATTATATGGTAAGAATCAACTGCTAAACAAGAAAATGAATGTCTAATTCAAAAACAAATGAGGGCATTAATAAAGAATCATGAGGGGCTGGGGGTTTAGCTCAGCGGCATAAGCACCTGCCTTGCAAGCAGGCGGTCGTGAGTTCGATCCCCGGTACCGATAAAAATGAAAAAGACAAAAAAAAAAAAAAAAAAAAAAAAAAAAAAAAAATCATCAATAAAGAATCATGCACAAAACAAAAGTTAATTCTTTGTTCTTTCAATATCTGGAGTTTTATTTAACAGAACAAGAACAAAAAGCTAGTTAAACAGTTTTTTTTTTTTTTTTTTTTTTTTTTTAGTTTTTTAAGATTATCAACATCTAGAACCAACTGGAACATAAAACCAAAAAACTTCACACAAAAGATTATCAGTAAATAGTTAAACTGGGGATAATGAATGCTCTTCTAAGCATAAAAACAAATTACAGGAGGCAAATAAACTTTCACCAAATAACAACTGTTTCATCTCAAAAATAATTTAAAGATTAAAAATTTTTATGCATCATACAATGAGAAGACATATTTGTGAAAAGATGTGAGAAATGAAATTAAAAGAAAAACTTAAAAAGAAAAATTTTTTTTGGTACTTGTGGATCGAACTCACAACATCCTGCTCACCAGTTAAGCGCCTGAACTGCTGAGCTAAATACCCAGCCCAAAAAACTAAACTTTGATAGAAAACTATCTCATGAATAATGAAAGAAAATTAAAATGAGGCCATCTGCTGCCTATACAACACAGCTCCTTAAATAATAAAATTTACAGTTAAAGAGATCTTTGTAAAAACACTTTGAAAATAAATATCAAGTAGCATCTAAAAAGCTATAAACTAACACAATTCTACATGTAGGGTATTCACCCAGAAGAAATCATAAACCTTACAACTGAATGTTAACTGAATACCAAGAGCAGTGCATACACAACCTCTAGGGGAATCAGTGTGGACAGTCTTCAAAAAAAAAAAGAAAAAAGAAACAAACTAGGATTTGACTCAGCTATTGCCTTTCTTGGTGTCTTCCCCAAAGAATTAAAAGCATATACCACAGTGACATTTGCATAACCATGTTTTCACAGCGGCACAGTTAGTAATAGCCAAATCTTGGAAACAGCACAAATACCCACCAGCCAATGAATGGATAAAGATGTGGTTTTTACATGTATCAGTGTACTACTAAGCCATAAAGGATAAACTTGAGACATTTCCAGATAAATGGATGCAACTTGTGATAAAACTAAAGTGAAACACATATAAATATGGCATTTCCTCTGGTATGAGAAACTGAAAATATAAATAAGGACCAAAATATATAACAGTGTAAAATAAGAAAATGTTGAAATGGGAAGGGGCACAAGGGAGGCAAGGGGGCAAGGAAGAAAGGCAACAGAAAAAACAAGGAAAGAAAGATAAAATGGTAAAAAAAAAAAAAAAAATAGCTTTTGTAAATAAGGGGAAGAGGGTCAGAAGGAAGGGGAAGGGTATGGGGAAAAGAACTGGGGTATATGAGTTTGATCCCCAGCACCAAAAAAAAAGAGAAAGTTGTTGGGCGCAGGCGCTCAACATACCATACCCCACCCGGGACTAAGGACCATGCCAGCTTCCGCAATGCGCTACGTCCCTCTTTAAATTAGCCAACCCGTGCGCACCCCGCGCTCTACTCCGTACTCTGTGGCAACTCCTGATTGGCCACAGCTGGATATAGTAGCCAGAGCCTGCATCCCATTCCCGCCCTGCTTCCTTGTGGCAGCCTGTGATTGGTCACGGCCAAATATATAAACCAGAGCCCGCGTAAATAAACTAGCAGTTAACTGTCGTCCACAAGAGCGTCTCCTGTCTCCTGTTTCATTGGGGAGCTGCGCCGGTCAAAAGTGTTACACACGGGTCAAGTTCCATGTGATGAATGTGATCATTGTGTTTATCTGAACTGTACTAAAAAAATTACTGATTAAAAACAAAAGCTCAAAATACTCAAAACTTGAAATAGGAATACTTTATTTTCACACTGAGGGGGTTAATGACTTGATCCTACTGTACTGTATATGTACATTCTTTTATATTATCAAATATGTCACAGTTTTATTAATTCATACAGAATATTTCGCTGAAGAATTTTTTTCTTAAAGAGCAGAAACCACAAATGTATAGTGCCATTCTTATTACATTATGGGTACATGCTATCAACATGCCTGTTACTGCTAACCATGATCACCCAGGTGAGGTAGTATTCAGCATCCAAAACCTGTCTGCAACCCAGGCTAGTCCTGAGAAAAATGCAGTCAGACCAAAACTGAGTCTATAAAGTATCTGACAATAACTTCCACACAGTTACCAAAATGAAGAAAAATCTAGAGAAACTATAATAGACTAGAGGAATATAAAGAAACAAGGAGAATTAAATGTAAGGTTATACTCTAGACAGGACTAGAATAAAAAGGTATTAGATAACATTTCAATATTGTTTTATTGGTAAGGACAAGTATTAGTGATACAGGAAATTTAATGTGAAATATATGGGAACTCACTTAAATTGTTATTACCCTTTTGTTAATCTAAAAGTATTCTAAAATAAAAAGTTGATTTGCACAATAAGCACATATGAAACATGTTGTATCTCCAGATTGTGGCAATATGAGACTTTATATTCATCACATTTTTCTCCATTTAATAAATATTCTACAATGAAAAATATTACTTTCACACTCAACAGTCTAAACCCAAAGAACGAGCAACAGTACAAGAGATGTTGCAAAATAATATTTAAAATGCTAACACAGAGGTCTAGAAAATAAAAATGTCAGAAACTAGAGAGATTATCTGGAGAACAGAAAAAAAAACAGCTTCATGTAATAGACTTTGAAATGCAGATAGGATTTTTTAAGAAAAAAAGAGAGGACACTGTATACACAGGAAATAGAAAAATGCAGACAGGCTACTGCAGGGTACCATAAGAACAAGAGGCTTTGCATGTATAGGAAAAGTCAAGACTCAGCGCTCGCTTTGTAGGGAGAAGATAACATGGTAAGTAGCGTGAAACACGCAAGTAGAAATGTTAACAGCCTACTGTAGAGACGAGGGACTCAGCCTGAGAGGTCCGAACCTGCTGTACAGACTCAGAGCTTCATTCCATTCAATAAGTATCTTTCGAGTCCCTAAACACTATGCCACAAATTAATAGACTATAGAGGCACAAAAATGTACAAATCTTACCCAGACTACCTGTAGAATTTTACAACCTAGTATCAGACAGTAACAACAGTATGATTTGCGTGCTGATAAAAAGAAGGACCACCTAACTTGCGAGGTTGGGGTCAAAGCTTCCCACAAAAAATATTAATACCAAGATACAAAGAATGAGAAAACATTACTGGCAGAGTGGGCGCATGCAAGGTGAGTATCGGCGGTAGGCGGGGCTCCACGCAGAGGGAAGAACGTAAGTGCTAAGGCTCAGAGCTCAGTGGTCATACCTAATCCAAACAAGGCAAGTCACAGAACGTGAACAGAAGAAGGGAGATACTGCAACTTTTTATGGGGTGCGGTAGGGATCAAACCCAGCACCTCAGCCATGCTAGGCAAGCATTCTGTCACTTAGCTACACCTCCATCCTAGAATTCACCCCCCATTTTTTTCTGAAAAAAACACTGATATAGTTTAAAGTCAGGAAGCAAAAGCACTACATAAAACACTATTCCATTCCAGTAACCTACCCAATCAGTTCTCCACATAGATAACCAGTGTTATTCTCTATGTACCCTTCCAAAGATGTATTACAAAAATACAACCTAACATACATGTTCTTTTCTTGTCTAAGACGTCCAAACTAAGCACTGCCAGGTATGAGTAGATACAAAATAAAAAGACTTAATAACTGGTTAAGAGTTAGAGAAAAGAAAGGAAATACATGCCTTAGGTCCTGACATGGACAAATGATAATGCTGTTCAATGAGATTCAAATATATAGAGGAATGAGTCCCCTTGAAGGTAGAAAAAACTGGAAGTTAACTGCATTATATTTCTTATTTTTCTCTCTCTCTCTCTTTTTTTTTTTTTTGGTACCGGAGATTGAACTCATGACCTCGCACTTGCCAGGCAGGTGCTTATGCTGCTGAGCTAAATCCCCATCCTCCACGTTAAGAGTTAGAAGACACTTGAGAAAACAAATCCAACTTCACTCATTTTAGAGATTAAAAAAGTGAAAACATTAAATGACTTTGTAAATTGAAGTTGGTCAAAAACATGCTAAAGCAAACAGCGATTTCTTCCCGATCCATGCATATAGGGTGATCAACAAAACTATAAATAAGACCTATCAAAGCAGCTAAAGGACTGCCCCTACAAAGTACCCACAAACAAGACAGAAAAGAAAAATGATCTTGCTAAGGTAAAAGAAATGGTCAATTAGACAAATAATCAAAATACTGCAACACACTGAAGCCCAGAAGGATAGTTTTAAGACATTATCATCAATGCACCAAGAGAAATTAACTGGAGTAATTTAGTGTGACTATGTCTTGATATCAAGTTATCATAGAACTCAAAAGTGCTACAAGCAACAGGTCAACACAGTTACCAAATGAACTGAGAATAGATACCTAGAAGCTAGGAAAAAATTTTTTAAACTTTATTTATTTGCAGTGCTGAGGACTGAACTCAATTCTTTTTAATTATATTTTATATTTTAAGATAGAGTTGCAAAATTGCTCAGGCTGGGCTTGAAAAAGTGATCCTCCTAACTTAATCTCCCAGAGCACATTCTTAAACTGTGAAAATGAAGTTTCAATTCTTCTCAATAATATGGAATTAAATATTGTAACAGAAATATGTTCACAGAATTCAATGTACTCCTTTTCAAGCAAAACAGTGGTCATCAACTTATTCTTACCTGTGTCTGAATATCATCCCCGGTGACAATGTTTCCCACAGCCCGCAAAGCAGGAGAAACCACTTTATAATCATTATGCCTACAACCATAAAAAGAAACATTACAGTCAGCGGTTCTATCCATAGTCTCTTTCTTTCACTTCTAAAATCCAAAAGATGTGTATGATTAAGATTTTAGAGCAGAAAGACACCTATCTTGATTATTAAGGAACTCTCACCTTGATGATAAAATGTTTGGTGTTCCCTAGAAAGACTGTCTTTCCCCTTTTATTATTATGGGGGGGGGGGGTGTGATCACACAACTTTCCTGGAACTCCAAGTCCAGACCCCTTAATGTAATACAAACGTCATTTCCTGACCTTCTGTGTTGCTGAGACAATGGACAGCATTAGTTAACATTTTTGTATGCACTTTTAAAGTTTTAGAACTATCTCATTTTCAGAGACAAAATTGATGTCAACAGCTGGACTAATTCGAAAATGAAAGAATTCACATTTCAAATGCTAGCCTCCTTCTAGTCTGCTAGCAAGCTGCCTTAGTGGTCCAAACTCCTCACAAAGACTTATTCACAGACAGATGTTAAGTACTGTATAAGGTAAGCTTCCTCAAAGCTCCTGTTTTCCTCTTCCCTCTAATAAGACTGATTCCTCTTCTTAAAACTGTGCCAGTTTCTTCACAGTGATTTTAGGAACTGATGACCAAAAAGAAATGATTAAAATGTAACCTCGTACCTAAAGGATCCAAAGGGCTACCTTCTAGATTATGAATGCTGAGCCCTGAGCAGCATCACGCTGCCTTGAATCCACAACAGCGCTCCCTGACTCATCAGGGCCAGCTGAAGTCTCAGCGGTGTTCTGTTATATTTATCTAGTCTACTTCATAGTCATATCTCACCTCTACTTTTTACTTCAATTAAATTTCATGCTGCTTGTAACTGTACACATGTCAAAATATGTGATTAGTCTCAAATTATTTGTAATGAGTAAATCTTCCACTCCACTACGTCCATTACAAAGAATAAAATACGTTAAAATGTCTGATACTAGCCTTGATTAAGATCCAAATGAGACAGATAAGAAATCATTTTAGTGGCGAGATAATTTTTGTTTGTTATTAGTAAGTTTGTTTTCTTTTGGTGTTTTGAGACAGGGCCTTAGTATGTAGTCCAGGCTGGCTTCCTGCATCAGCCTCCTGATTTTCTAGAGTGTTGTAACTGCAGGTGTGTACCACCGCCCCCTGCAGCAATGATTTTTTTTTTTTTTTTGTACTAGGAATTGAACTCATGACCTTGCACTTGCCTAGCAGGCACTTAGGCCTCTAAGGTAAACCCCAGTCCAGCACTATGATTTTTGATGTCCACTGTAGGTCATTTACTATGGGCTCAAGTTACACAGATCAGTTTCCCCCAATGTTTGTGCTAAAAGATTGCTTTTGTGGGGTACCAGGAATCAAACTAGGATCTTACACTTGCCGGGCAGGCACTGTGCCACTGACCTAAATCCCCAGACCAAGACTGCAGAAGAGTAAGAGGTTCTTTGTTAAGTCTCAAAAAACTGAACCAAAATATCTGACATTATATGAACAAGTAACAAAAGACAGTAATAGCCAAAGCATGATAAATCTGTAAGATGTACAAACAACTAACATTTAGGTATCAGCAACTGGGAAACTAATATAAGGAGAGGAAAGCAGACACAGATTCTTAAAGATATCTTACATCAGCAGCTCCACAAGTCTCCTACATACTCCTGCATCAATGACTGCTTGAATTTTATCATTGGGTCCATCTGATAGATATGAGAGGGCCCAGCATGCATCAGCCAATACATCAGTGTCGTTGACAAAAAGTAACCAGGAAAGCACATTCAGACAAGGGGAAACCTGTAAAGGAATATGGTGTGATTATAAAATTCAACAGGAAAAAACCAAACGTGAGGCAAAACACTCAAGGCAGCTACCAGGGAGATGCTTGGTGGCTTCTCAGGTGATTTACATTCTGGAGCGACACTAGCAAGGGGCTATGTGGTCTGTCTTTGGGCATGCTGTTGGCAATCTTACAGTTTATTTTGCTGAGGTTGTCAGAACCCAAAGGAAATAATCTCAGGGAGCTAATTTTTATACACAGTGATCCTTGGAAGAAGATCTGTCTGTCTGTTAAAACATTCTTAGTGGACCAAAGACGTAAGGAACCTTCATATATGTCAAAGTTAGGAAATGTAATACTATACTATAGGCCTGGGTTAGGAGCAAAAAATGTTGAACTTAAACTGAACTTAAGAGTCTTTTGTAGACAATGAGAAATACCAAATTAAACTACAAAAACTATTTTTAGAGAAAAACTGATAATCATAACATTCTAAATTTTATCAAAAATTGCTGGGCGTGGTGGCATACATCTGTAATACCAGCACACAGGAGGCTGAGGCAGGAGAATCACCTGAGTTTGATCAGCCTGGGGTACACAGTGAGTTCAACACCAGTCTGAATTACATAGCAAGACTTTGTCTCAAAAACCCAAAAAATAAGAAAATAAAAAATAACAAAGAATACTGGTTACTACATTCTTTAACTGCATTCTTTTGCCAATTTCCCACAAGCATAGTCCTTACCTTTGCAAATTCTGGAGGTGGACTTTTCCCTCTACAGAGATTAGACAAAGCCCATACTGCATTCCGGGTCATGGTTAGGCGATTTTGCTTTGAAAATAACCTACAAGAGTGATGATGCAATGGTAAATTTTACAATGATATTAATTCTCTGATTGTATAAAACAGCTCTTTATCCAGAATACTAAAACTTCATGAATTTTAATACATCTAATACAGAATTTTGGCACTAGAGTAATATGGGGTACATAAATGATCTGAACAAATTGACAAGAAAATTATGTAATGAATACATAAGAAACCAAAATGATTTCCAATGATTTAATGCTTTCTGAGCAATTTCCCATGTTTTTGCAACTAAAAAAACCCAAAAAGCCCACAAAGAAAACAGAAGAAACTTACTGCAGAAGAGGAGGAAGAATATTGCAGTCTAAAACATAGTCCCTGCACATGGTACTATCTCCAGCAATGTTGCCCAGGGCCCAGACTGCCTGTGAAAGAGTTATTTATTAATGACAGTTGTCTAGTTTTAAACTGCTCATAATTCTTTCAAAAAAAGATGCTAGCGCATCACAGCAACACTTGATAAAATTATATAGTAGTTAATATATTATACATGGGTTATTAGCATTCTTAAATTCATTCATCAGAAAGTCAAATTAAACCACTGTGGGACTGGGGAAAGATGATAAATACTATTTTTAAGTGTACACCAAAAGATGAATGTAATCATCCGTTAAATAAGTTCTATTAAAAACGGAAACCAATTGTTCTTCATTTTAAGAGAACTTCATCCTTACTCTGAAAGTAACAGTCCTTAGTACAGAGCAGATTCAAATGGCTAGGTTAATTAAAAATAAACTTTTTTGCGGGGTATGGGGGTACAGGGAATCGAACTCAGGACCTTGAGCTTGCCAGGTAGGCACTTGTGCCACTGAGCTATATCTGCATCCCAAAAACATACTTTAAAGCTTGTTTAAAACAGCAAACAGTGGAAAGAGAATGGAAATGCTATTAAAATGCAGCTAACTTTACTGCTTTTTATGTGTATACATGAACATACACAAGTTATACTGTGCATTTTAAATAAATATATGCAGAATGCTCTATGTCAGTTAAAGCTCAATAAAACTAAAACAAAAGCATATTTAGTAGTGGTCTATCTTCACATACTTTAGCAGTAACACAGATAACATCAATGTTATCTGTGTTTTCTGCACAAAAGTAGCAAAGATCTCCTACTTCAACACTAACACAAAAATTCCTAAATTACAAAAGATATCCTATCAGCCACTCCTTACAAACACAAAAAAAGTCTATCTACAAGGCACAAGGAATTCTAGGTTGGAAGCTGCACGTGCTAGGACAGGCCTGTAATACCAGCACTAGCGAGGCTCAGGCAGTAGGATTACTGAGTTTAAAACTAACCTGAACTACATAGTGAGTTCAAGGCCAGCTGAACTACACAGCAAGACTGTCTCAAAAAACAAATACAACAAAATTGAGGTTGGAGGGAAAACGGTGTTATGTGTCTACAACGTATTGTGCCCTAGTTAGCAAAACAGTTTACATATTGGTTAAATTGTTCAGATGCTTCTGCTTTTTTATTGCATTTTTTTACCTGTTCTTGGACATCTTCAAACTCTGAGCTGAGCAACTCTATGAAGATGGGCACTGCTCCTGCCTGAATCACAATCCGGGTCTGAAGAGAATTTCCTGAAGCAATATTTGTCAGTACCCAAGCTGATTCAAACTATAAAGATAAAAATAATTTTTATTATCTTTTTAGAATTTAAAAACTTATTTACTTATAACAATAAAGGTTTCTGTACATGAAGAAAAGTATCTAAGATCTACTACTTAAATCTTTTAAACACTTCCAAATGAAATATCTCAGCCTAGAGGAATTTTCCAGTTGTCTAAAATTTCAGATCAAAACAGAGTTAGTACAAGACTCCCCTCTAAAAAATGAGTGTTTCACATGCTGATATGAAATGATCTCCCAAGATTTAAGTGGAAGAAAAAAAAACCCAAAATGCAAAACCAATATACATTAGTATGGTGTCACACTATATTGTCTTAAGGGTTAAAAGGAAATATATTAATATGCTCATTGTACAGATCATCTCTGAAGTGAGTCTCAAAAAACTCTCAAGTCTTGTTGCCCATGTGGTAAAGGCCTCAATGACCAGAGAACAAGGAGAGGAAAAGCAATTGCACTGGAAATTAAAGTTCTTCTGGTGCTGTACTACGTATCTTATGTAATAAAAATTTCTAGAGGATAAACAAGTAAAATGGAAAGATTATCAATGTTAATGTATAAAACACAGTCACAGGAAATAATTGTGAAGTGTCTTAAAGTATGTCAAATTGAATTTAAATGTTAAGTGGGCAAAATGAGCTATGTATACAATTAATAGATAAAACAATTTCAGAACCTAAAGACTTTCCAATAAATAAGAAAGGACAAAGTTAAGGTACAGAGATGTTTTTAAAAAGAGTATTCTTAACAAGGAGGGGAAAAAACAGTTAACCGAGTAAAGGCTAATCTGCTACAATAGCCCCAGGAAGCAGAAGATACAAAAGAAATTATGGCCAAAAAAAAAAAACTACTGTGTATTATTAATTCTATAAAGACTAATGACAACTTGACTTTTCAGGGTAATATTGAGAATCCAAGAATAAAAAGTTACATTTCTACTTAGCTAAGAAGTCTTAATTAAACGTAAGAGTCTTTCCCCCATTCTGTCTTCTATTTAATCTTTACCAAAGCACAAATGTAGGGGAAAAACGTCAACAGTCTGCTTTTTGAATAAGACAATAACAAGGCCTCAAAAGATGCACCGGTGACTTTCTAAGCTTCTGGGTAAAATAAAAGGAAACTGTTAAAGCGAAAACAAAATTGTCAATCACTGAGGGTGAAGGAAGGTAAAATAAACAGGCAAACTATACGATGAGCACAGCCCAAAGTTGATGATGAATGACAGCAAATTCATAGAAGACAAAGAGGAAGACGTTCAGAGAAACCTAAAAGGTGACAAAAAAGGTGCAATAAAGTAGTCTGGCAACTGAGTGCGGCACTGAAAGCAGAGCAGGCGGGAAGCCCAGCTAAGAACGCCACATCTGAAGAGCACATGCATTGTATCTGATAGCATTTTGTTGTAACGGAAGTTCATGAAACCTAGGAATTAAGCCCTGAATATCATTTTAAAAATACTCTTCATGCATTTCTATAATTAAGTTAATGAAAGCAATGCTTGAACCCTTTGAATTTGTCAGAATTAAAACATTTACACTTGCACAGAACCTTATCGTTTCAAAGGATTATTCACATACTCTGAGGTGATTCTCACAACAATCCAGGGAACTAAAACGTCTGGCTTTTCTCATTTTGAAGGAAACAGACCCAACAATGTGACTAATGGTTGAGTAATACTGTTTTTCTGTTTTTTGATACTAGGGATCAAACTTACGATGTCGCACACACCAGGCCAGCGCTTGTGCCACTGAACTAAATCCCCAGTCCTGGTTTGAGTAATACTAAGCAGCCAGTCAGAGAAGGAATAAATTACAGATTCCTAATGTAGTGTGCTACAAAGCCGAGGCATAATTTCTTCTCTAAAACACACCTGTAACACTGTATGAGATGCTTCAATTGTTTTAGCTTGGAACCTGCAGCAAGATATTCCAAATAGTGGTATGCCAGATTGTTTATTCTAAAAAAACAAGAGTTCATCTACAATAATTCCTATGCCACTAGGAGAATTAGCTAACCCAGAGGCACACGATGTGAGTGTAAAAGGCAGGGCAAAGTTCAACAGTTATCAAATTCTGTAGGGATCAAGTAAAGAGAAATGAAAACAGAAAATTCAATCTAGAAATATATCTCAAAGAGAGAAAAGATTTCAGTGACATTTTGATGCAGAAGAAATGATAATAACCTGGAAAAATAAAAGACACATTAAAGTTACTAGAAAGAAAAAAATCACTTAAGATACTAACTGGTGCCAGAGTTCTAACCAAGGCTAGCACCAAAGGCTCCAGAGGAACTGAGAGGAATTCCAGAAGCTACACAAGAGAATAAAATGATGAAATAAGAGACAATAGTTAAGAAAAGAAAAATAAGTGAATAACAAACTGATCAGGATGTTAAAAATGAGAAACTAGTACCTCTTAATAAAAGAACACTACATTAGAGTCGTGCTTATTAATAAGAAGCAAGTAATGATGATAATTTCCGAAAGCAAAGACTCAAGAATATAAATCAAAGAGTAGTTTTGCTGTTCTAAGGAACAGAAGAAAAGAAGAACCTATGATCAGACAACCACTGAAAACATAACCATATTCCCAGACATTAATAAAGCATAACTAATATACATGACACCAATAACTTTGGATTTTTTCATCACATAAACTTACTAAAACTTCATTTGTAAAATTTTCTATACCTGCTTGTGTGTATATTAGCGAGATACCTGTTAACATTTGAAGGATCAACTACCAAATACGTTTAGCATGTAAGAATATTCTTTAAATGCTTTGAACTATACACCTTCCCTTTGATCAGAGTCTATAATTATATATTTTATTAAGATCTGCACTCTTTCAATTTTCAAAAAAATGTTCTGGCCCTGATACTATATTAAAATTTAACCCAGAAGAGTGCTGGGAAATGGAAAAGTCCAGAATTGATGACAAACACAATACATAAACTTATAACAGGAACAGCCAAAAAAACAATATTAAGTAATCACATGACTCAAGACAAAATCAGTGATCTGAAAAGAAAAAAAAAATCTAAGAAATGGTACTACTTGAAGTAAAGAAATGACAACTGTAACCTTCACTTCCCCTTTGTTAAACTACTCTAATTCTTCCTGTTCCAAGAACGGCACCACACAAGTAATCCACCTATCAGGGAGCTGTAACTGCTTATAAACTGTCACTCTACTATTGCTTTTCACTGTGCAGAACTTGGCTAAGTAAGGCTACAACTGAAATCTGCACGCTCAAGATTTCGATGTTTTCTGTCTCCCCTTTCTCAGTCTCTACCTTCTGATGCTCAGCTTCTTAAATAAGGAAAATGAAAATCCAAAGCTGAAGTACTTCTGACCTCCTATCAAGTTTCCCACTCCAGGTTGAGGTACGCCTGGTTCCCTTTCTCCATTTGGATCAGGACTCTGTTGCTGGCCACTTTGCCGGTTCCTCTCTGGTTCCTAGCAAATGCCAGGCTCACCTGGAGAGCAAGTGAAAAGAAAGGATCACATCAGAAAAATAAACCCAGATATCAAACTCTGCAGAGAATAGTGCCTGAGTCATCTGAGCAACTTTCCAGGAAAGCACAGAGATCAATGAAAATGGGAAACGGCATAGGAGGGTAAAGGCTTACTGCAGTTTATCACATTTAGCTTTTAGAAGGGACAAGAAAAGCAGGAAAGGGGAAACTCAGCCAATTTAATTCACACTTACACTTTTTAGTGAAGTAGTACTTGTCTATTTCTAGACATTTTTATAAGGTTCTACAAGGTTTGGTAGTGCAACATCTTTGCACTGCGAAAGACGGTACAAAAATGCTGGGCCTGGACTCAAAGAACCAAACAGCCCACGACAACATATCACAAAGAGGACCAATCTCATGCCAAAGGCTCAAGTATGCCTGAGACTTACATATCACTGAGATGAAGAAATGGTCTTAACTAAAATCCTACATTCCACCTACATTCCTCTCAGTTTGACAAGCGAGTGTTGGAGTAGGAATACCCAAAACAGTCATTTTTAGCTCCCTCGTTTGAGGTAACTCACTGATTTGAGACAGCAGAATAGGAATGAAGAGACCCTTTATCAGGACTCACAGTTCCTTAGCTATGAAACAAAGAAATTAAGTTTGTCTGTGGAACTTAATCTGTGAGTTGAGCCACCAAATTTTCTCTTGGTATCATACAATGTTGACTCTCTTCCTGCAAGATAAATGGCAAAAGCCCTACTCCAAAGATACCTTATTTGTATTCTCCGTAAGGAGCCAGGAGTATCAGCCTGGCTGACATCCCAGTCCTCTCCAAGAGGACAGGAAGGAACACTCTTTACACTTTTCAGAAAATATCTAGTTACTCAAGGTAAGTCAAAGCGTGAAGTCTCCTGGTCCTAAGATCTTGGAATTTGATTGTTCCCCACTGCTTTCACAGTGGCTGAGGTTTCCATTATTCACACTGGAGAGAGAATACCAGGCTGCACTTAAATGTGCCCAAAAGGAAAGCTGGAGATTATAACCCTTAAATAATAAACAGGTAGGTTATTTCTCAGCCTTACAAATAGCTAGGGTGAAAATCACAGGATGGTCAATTCCAGAAGCATCATTATTTTAATCATTCAGCCTAGTTAATTTGTGTGAGGATATGATCTAGAAATACAGACAGAAGAAAATTAGGAATTTCTGAAGGCTTTCACCTTCAGCTATGTTAAGACATGTTCCCGGAAGAAGAATTTACAAGGCTTAAGCAAGGTTTACAGGGCACTGTTTGAGAGGGTACTACATTCCTAATCATGTACATCAGAATGTGGCACTGGAAAATGTCATCTTACTTTTTTCATTTTAGGTCTCAAAGATTTATATACATTTCTTTTCTATGCATAAGAACAGGACCTCTGAATCACCTACAAAACTGCTACACCAGGAGTAAAATCAGCATCTTTCAACTACACTCATTCCCAGAGATAAGGCAGAAACATTTTTTTCCATCATAAACAAAATGATAATTTTCCCTACCTCCCTCTTCCTACAAAGCATTTCAAATGATAAACTGCAGTAAGCTCCTCATATGTTCCCTCTGGTTCTCTTGGCAGGCTCTTTAGCTCAGGCTCTGTTCTCTGCAGTGTTGGTTATCTGGATTTCTTTTTTTCTGAGCAAAGTCTCTCTTCCTTTGCTCTCAGGGTGAATGTGGTTGTTTTCAGGTGTCTGGTGATTCTGGCCTTAGATGGGACCAGAATTACAATCCAGGAGCAGCTAGCAAAAACAGAGTCTTAATTCAAATAAACACAGGAACTGGTTAGTTCTCAAACTGGAGAAGGGAAACCGACAGGAAGGTAAAAGTACTCTACCTTTTCTGGATTTCTTGTTTTTCCTCTGGAAAGAACTCATCACCTCAATAAAGATATAAAAGAAACAGAAAGATGCGGTAGGACAAAGGGAGAGAAAATATCAAGACAAAGCATCAAGACTTATGAATAATCTACAATGATCTGGCCAATAAAGAGCAGAGCAGGGAGAAGATTATTTTGAAAAAATGCCCCAGACCCTACATAGCACCTGCAGAAGCATATAAATGAGAGGGGGAAACTATGATTAACTTGTATTTGGCCAATATTTACTTGCATAAATAATCCTGCTTTGTGTTCTACTTGGTACCTAGGCAAATTTTAAAGGTGCATTCCCCAAAGTGTCTGATCCGTTCAAATTAGACACCACAGAAAGAACTTACAAAAAGATCACAGGTATCTGTTGGTCATACAGATACCATAATGATTCAGTTGGATACTCCAAGGAAGCCTGGCTAATGAACATTTAGCAGCTTAATAAAAATCCAACTTTATTCAGGGTAAGGGGGAAAAAGTAACAAGGATGAGAGTTCATTTTACTGTGAAAATTATCTAATCCAGAGGATGGAGAATTTCTTCTTGGATTCCCTCTACAGTACCCTATTTAAAGATTAAACTAACATAACAAGAAATGCATAGATTCTCAATAAATCTCTCTCTCCTTGTCAGTTCTACAGTAAAAGGAAGATTAATCAGGACCAATTAGATTATGAAGTTTCTGATCCAGCCATAGTGTATCATCATGAGAAAGCCACAAAACGTTCAAAGCCTGCATATCCTTCAAAAGCAAATTTTACACAGCTCCCCCAATAAGTCCCCATTTATAATGGCTCTCTAATGGCATTTTCCTGTTACCTAAGTATAATAAAATATCTTAATGATTATAAAGACATGGATTCAAAAGAATATAATCAAGACTTTACGTGTTAGCAAAGCTATAAAAACAGACAGCAATGCACTTATGAGGAATAACATTATCAACAAACTTCATTCTTCATATAGGTAAGACAAATAATCCACATACAAAGTTGTTTTTTAAATTAGTGCATATTTGCACTAATACACACATATATATTCACCTTGGGGAGTTGGTCCCTACATGTAACACAGTTTAGTCTTTTGTACTCCCCCTTCCCCATCCCTCCCTCCAAAATAAGTTTCACAGAAAACTAAGCTATGGGGCAAGAAATGAAAATGTTCCGCACCTGCAATGTACAATTTTCTTTTCTTTTGAGGAATTCCACAAACCTGGCCACTACTCCTGGTGTGCTGATAACTTCATCAATAGGAGGGTTAGGTTCTGTTTCCGAACAAAATAAACAAGTAAGGAGAAAAAACAATCCTTTCATTTCAATACAAGGAATTTACAGCTCAAAAATTACTTAATAATACCACTCCAGAGCTGGGCATGGTGGGGCATGCCTATGATTCCAGCACTTGAGAGGCTGAGAAAGGAGGATCCCTGTGAGTTCAAGGCCAGCTTTCCCCTAGAGTACAAGGCTAGTCTGAACTATATAGTGAGACTGTGTCTCAAAAACAAACAAGAACAAACTCAAAAACAACACTCTATTTAACAGTTCTTTCATTTTAAAAATCTACTTGAAAAATAAAAATAGAGTTTAGTCATTTTGAGATTAAGGTAATTCAAAAGGTTTCACACAAGAAACATATGTCTTAATTTGAAAATGAAGGATGGGCAGAATCGTTCTTTTGTTCTGTGTCTGCAGTGCTAGGGAAACTCAATTTTTTCAGCTTTGGAGATGAACCAGAACCTGTGCAAATGCTTTAACTGAGCTATACTCCTAGTTCCTAAGAGTTCTTAAAAGTTGAAATTACTAGGGGCTGAGGATTTAGCTCAGCGGCAAAAGCACCTGCCTTGCAAGCAGGCGGTCGTGAGTTCAATCCCCGGTACCAGTAAAAAGAAAAAGAAAAAGAAAAAAAAAAAGTTGAAATTACTATGACTACTACTTAAGGAAAGTTATAAAGGGAATAGATACCAGAAGAAAGTTACCTACATTATTTTGTTATATCTTCTTCGGGCTTTTCTATATATGATTTTTTTTTTAGTCTGTTTTTGTTTATTGTATGTTGCCTTAAAAACCTACATACATCACAGGATTCTCAGTGCTTACAGGACTGTGATTGAACCCCTGTGATGCTAAGTAGAGGCAGCAAGAATTAAGATTAACTTACCAAATTAACCTCACTTTCATTTACGACAACACAGTACCTTGTAAAAGAAGTCATTAAAAAGAAAAAAAGGAAAAAAAAAAAAACAACTATTTCACAAACAGGAAATGCCAGATAACCAGAGTAGTAATCTCAGCAAGAGAATTGACAGTTTTTGATAACCTGCATGTGGCAATACCATAAACATGTAGTCAGATCACAGTAATAGTGATTCTTAGCAAAGCCAATGGACTTACTGAAAGAAGGCACTAGTGGCTCAATATTGACTTTGGACACAGAGGGCTCTAATGACTTGTCCTTTACCTGGTTCAACATTTTTCTCTCAAGTAAGTGTTACAAAGAAATTAAATGATAATAAATATAAATTAGTATAACATACCAAATACAGGAATAAAAAAAAAACGACAACGAAACAAAAAAAAAGCAAAATCCACAAATGATTTTTCTGGGTTTGTTTGGGAGGGAGGGCATGTGATATCTCATCATGTTGCTAAGCATGGCCTTGAATGCTTGGCTTAGGTGATCCTCTTACCTCAGTCTTGCAAGAATTGGGACTACAGCTGTCAGCTACAGTTCCCAGCTTAACAACTGATTCTAAAAGATAACTTTAAAAATTCTGTATCATTTTCCAATAATATAACTATATTTCATGAAGAAAAATGGTAAGAATTTTGTTTGTTGAAAATCTGATGAAATGTTACTATGTCATGGCTACGAAGACAACCAACTACAGAGCAATTATTAGAATGAACAGTCTTAGAACAAAAATGGTAAACTATCACCATGCTCATCAGTAATAACACATCTGGTGTACTGTATTCTAGTTTGCACATTTTTATGAGAGATATAAGCAAACTAAAATACATGGATGGCAGTAGTAAAATGATCAAAAGCCTTAAAAAGCCTTGTTATATATGAGAAAACCACTCCTTCCAACATGTTGAAACAAGACTTTTTTTAGAAGCATACCAAGATACATCCTTCCTTCATATATTTAGTAAGCTGCCATACAAAAGATACATTTTTATGTATCATGGGAATTTTTTATTATGCTAAGTTTTTAAATCACTAATGATTCTAAATAACCTTAGTTTACCATGGGGTGTAGGATGAAGTATTTACCACTAACATTTTAATAAGTTTTACGTTATCTTTACTTGCTCAGGGTGACAGTAAATACCACATGCCATTCTATACTAATTGTACCAAAGGACTGTAAGTTACATATCCACTAATAAATCCATACTTAAGTTTCAGGGGTAAACTCCTAACATTAAAATCAACAGTTACTGCTTTCTCAAGTAACATTTTAAATAAGTTTTCTATGAATAGAGTGGAATTTTCAGTGAGTTAAGATCTTGACTATGATTCACTAAGGTCTTTTGTATAGCTGAAAAATTAAAGGTGAGATCTCATAAGTAATTTGAAAAGGCATTATTCAAAACTATGCATATCTGCATGTATCGATTTTTTTTTTTTTTTTTTTTTTTTGGTCTTTTTGAGACAGGGTCTCACTATGCAGCTCAGGCTGGCCTTGAGCTCACTTGGTAGCCTAAGCTGGTCTCGAACTCACAACGATCCTCCTGCCTCAATCTCCCCAATGCTGGCATTACAGGCGTGAGCCATCACGCCTGGCTCATATGATTTTTTAACTCACTAAAAATACATTTCAATCTAGGTATGGTATGCATACCTATAATCCCAGCACTCAGGAGGCTGAGGCAAGGGGATTGCCATGAATTCAAAGTCAGCCTGAAGTGAGAGACCTTGTCTCTAGGGAAAAAAATTTAAGTTAATTTTAAAAATACACTTCAGCCAGGCATGATGGTACATGCCTGTAATCCCAGCACCTGGGAGGCTGAGGCAAGAGAATGGCAGTAAGTTCTAGGCCAACCTGGGATACATAGTGAGTTTGAGGCCAGGCTGGGATTATGTAGTGAGCTGGAGGCCAACTGGAGCTACATGGTGAGCTCAAAGCTAGTCTGAACTACGAAGTGACATCCTGTCTCAAATTAAAAAAACCTCAAAGTAAGTAAGATAAAAATACACTTCAAGGGGCTGGGGATTTAGCTCAGCGGCTCAAGCACCTGCTTTGCAAGGGTGTAGAAGTGAGTTCGATCCCCGATACCAAAGAAATACACTTCAAATCAAATCATCTGAGATGTGATAACAAATTATAGGAATACTTTGTAGAGATGAAAGGAATACTTTAGAGAAATGAAAAGATAAACCGATACTTGGAACTCACCTTTTGAGAGCAGTTTTCTGAATTTCTGTGTCGCAGAAAGCTGTTGCTCTGGGCTATTAGAAAATATCATCTCAATCATGTCAGAAGTAATAACACCACCCTAGGATCACAAACACAAAGCAAATATAAGAAAATATTAAGCTTAATTGAAAAACAAAGGTAATGTAAGTTATAAGCAGGTACCAAGTTAGCAATATTTCTCCAGAAATTATGGACAGGTAGAACAATACTCATTCCCAAAAGTGATGTAATGAAGCCAATTCTTTGTCGATTATTTAAAAGTTCATAGTAGTGAGGAAGTGATCTCAGTAGTGATAAGAGGTTGCTATTCCCTGTCTTGGTTACTTCTCTCTCGTTGAGACAAAGCATCTGATGCCCAAAGTGAAGCAAGGAAAGGTTTATTTCTCTTACAGGTTTTGGACTGCATGAGGCTTTGGGACAACACTTAAACAAACCATAACACCATCTCTCCTTGCTTATCATTTAGCTGGCCATTGCTATTATAGAAATCAAAGTTAAATTCTAACCAATGAGTTTTCAAGACTTCTAAACCTAAAGCAGTTGCTACAGCTGTCACATCACCCTATCTTAATTCTATGTCCAGCCAGTTCATCACTTGATATTTTTCATGACTATTTGTTAATGCCTGGATTCCCCCAATTTACTGTAATCTCCTTGAAAGCCAAAGACACTTTTTTCTTGCATTTTTTCAAATTAATTTTAACTGACACCTAGAAACAATTGTACATATTATAGAAAAACCATGCATTGTTTCAACATATGTACACACTATAGTATTTTAAGCAAGACTCTATCTACTTCATCACTCTATCACTAATGGCTGGAATACAGTAATACAAATGTTTGGCCCAATAAACACTTACTGAAGTGTTTGACAGTAGTCCTATATAAATCATAAATTCTAGCCACTGCCAAATTCAACAGCTAACTCTTTGAAATTTATTTAGAATTCTTACTTTCTTACTTTATGAAACCTATTTTCTCACTTTTTACATAACCTTACTACAGCTTCACATGGAAGGGTACCTGTACTGGGGACTGAACTCAGGGCTTCTGTGCTCAGCTATAACACGGTCTCGCTAAGTCACATAAACTGGCCTAGACTTGTGATCTTCCTGGTTCAGCTTCCCAGTGTTGGGATTACAGTCATGCACTGCTATCCCTAGTATTTTACTAATGTAATATACCTTTTCTGTTTCCCACTATTTTCTTGTTCTATCACTTTTCCACTTCATATTAAAAACTATGCCCACCATCGGTTTCTTTTCAGGTTCACTGGTCACAATGAAACAAAGTTCTCATATTAAGAAAGATTACAGTCCACAAGATGAACTGTAAAAATGCTCCACTCAGAGTAAATGCTGGGTGGTTGGTGAGCAATAGCTAACCCTTGACAGTACCTACTGGTCAATATATGAAGCACATGCTCAAGAATTAGAAAAGTGCTGTCAAAGTTCCAAGATTGATTCCTAAATAAACAAAGATACCTAAAGACTGTAATCTCTTTAAACACATACACACACAAGCTATTTATGTCTCTGTGTGTAAAATATTCACATTTATATAAGCAACTTTTTCTTCCTTCTGATATTGCTTTATCATAAAAGCTGTACTGACTTTACACCATGGTATTTAAATTACAGTATTATCAAGAAAAGGAGGGCCAGGGATACAGCT